CCCAAATGCAAAGTCGCTGTTACAAACAAAAGCTGTTTTCGATTTATAGTGTGAACCTAGTTTAGATGCTATTTATATCGTGTATGTATATCTTATATCCTTAGCAGTTTAGGTTATTGTATTCATTTGCTTTATAAATATATAATACATTGCTTACATTCTCTACTTTTTGCTGCATTCTGATTCAGCTTAGTGGGCAGCTCCAAGGTTCATATTGGGAAACTGGATCTTGGAACAAGCCTTTACATCAGGCAGCAGTCCAGCCATGCCCAATCTGTGTATCACAGTCTGTTGTTGTTGGTACCTCAGTCAAATCCAGTGCCCTTCTTCAGTGTGGTCTGAGTTTTTAGTTTTCTTATAATAGAATAAGATATCTTCCATCCACAGCATCTACTGACTCATTATAACCCCCATATGCCCAAACAGAGCGTGAGTCAGTAGTTGAATCCTTTCCATCCCTTGTTTGAGTTTATTCAGTAGCTCTCCACAGATCTGCTGGTCTGCCAATCTCACCGAAATCTGTTTGTTTTATTAGCCTGTTTGTTGCTGAGTAATGAAAGATGAAAGACGAGTTTGTGTTGATAACCTACTATTTGCCCCAGCATGTTGTATCAGTGGTATTAAGCTCTGGTTTGGCTAAGAACCTGTATTGGATTAAGTTTATGGAGGCTTGATGGAAGTTTTTGTATGCATAATCCTAAATAATGTCCTCTTAAGTAATAGTTAATGGAACTTACATTATTTAGACAGAATAAAGGAATAAGTTTCTCTGGCTTACTATTTGCAGAAAAGCAGTACATTTTCTAGGTTAGCCGGTTATTATTGCTGACCTCCCATGTTCAAACTAGCTGTCAAGTTAACAAGTCTTCCCAGCGAAAGAAAAACAACCCATATGAGCATTTTCTCTTTTTATAGATAATATTTTTAATGTAATTTTCTTCCCTTATTAAACTGAGTGCAGTAGAGACCAACAGAAAATGAGGGGAAAGAGAGAGGGCAAACTTCCTTTGAGCAAATCTTCTCCCATGTGTGCCCAGGTCAGTTGGTAGAACTTAACTTAGTAAATGTTACTGTTGAATTCACTGAATGAGGGAGTAATGAAAACCCGCCTTGATGAGAGGATGGACAGAGTGCATTTTGATATTCATTGTGACACCAAAAGAGCGTGGTGACATGTAAATGTAAACGCAATAGACTGGGTGTGCTAGATTGCTTATTGCATTTGAATATTGTCCACTGTACAGAGGGGAAGTATTTAAAACTGAAATGTCAAAAGCTGTTTTCATTTTCTAATTGCATTTTAATTTTGACTTAAATATTTCTTGCATAAATGGAAAATCAGATTAAATTGTTGATATTGGATTTTCATTTTCTAATTTAAATAAACATTTGAATATTGTCCACTGTACAGAGGGGAAGTATTTAAAACTGAAATGTCAAAAGCTGTTTTCATTTTCTAATTGCATTTTCATTTTGACTTAAATATTTCTTGCATAAATGGAAAATCAGTTTACATTATTGATATTGGATTTTCATTTTCTAATTTAAATTAACATTTGAATATTGTCCACTGTACAGCGCGGTAAGATGGAATGTAGTAAAATGCAAATTGTATTGTAATTTTTACTCAAATAACACGTATATATTTGCCAAATTAGAATGCTATATTGGATTTATATTTTCATTTTCAAATTTACATTATAATTTTGAGGCAGTCGCCTATAGGCTTCCATAATTTCAGCATTGACAGCCTTTATCCAGAGTAGGGACTGTATGTACCAGCTGTCTTATAAAGGATTAGATGAGGTGACAGCAAAGATAATCTTAAGAGCATCCAGCCATCTCAACTTTCCTAAACCTACCTTGTTTTTTTGTCACACCTTCTATTTTTCCATCTGTACCCTCAATATTATGTCAGATCTTCTCTAAAAGATTCACTTTTACCCCCAGAAATATTTGAGGAATGAGATCAGTTACCATGGTCGTCAAAGACATAACAGCAAACATTCCTTATTAAAATTGTGCACTTAAAACAGAAGAGCTTTTGTCTGTGGTGCAACAAAGAGAAGGTTGAGACAAGTTGGAGCTGGTTTGTGCCTGCATGTTGACAGGTGGTGTTGGGGAGAAAGATTTCACTCAACTTATTCTGTAACCTTTCTTTAACAAGGTCAGGGGTTATTCTCAAATGCTCTTTTAGTTAAGGATGCATAGCACTGTTGAAGATTACACCTGGCCTTGCAGACATTTGAACTCCTGAAATACAGGCCAAAGGTTGTGTGGGGTCAAATGTGCACCAGCCACTTTTCCCTTTCACAGTAAGCTTCTACTGGTCACTCCAGTCTGCCCAGCTCTGAAGTCTAGCCCTCACTGTTTGATGGGTTTGTGTTTGTTGTATTTTATTACTTTTATTTGACTTTAAAGTGTTTACAAGGCAGTGCAGCTGCATCATGGGCAAAACAAAGAATTGGCAGCTTGTAATTTATATTGCACATACATGAAACTAAAGTTGACAGCAGTTCATACATGGGTACTTTTCACAAGTATCTGCAGTAAAAACTTGACTTTAATATTGTTTTTGTTGTATTAAAAAACTTAGAATTGAATGGAATTCTATTTGCAATGCAAATACAAGCTACATATACTTTTATTTTTAAGCTAGATTTCTATTTGTTAGGGGGTTATTGCACTGCTGGAACTGACACGCAATTCCTTGAAAATATAGCTACTCGTCAGGATTACAACAGCTATGGAGACACCATGCATACCATTTCTCCATAAAGTTTATTTTGCTGCTAGAGATCATTGATCATAAAGACATCAAGCAAGTATAAGAAATGCTTAATAATCATTCCTCTTTTCAATAACACTAGAGAAATGTGTGATCTGGCAAAACCACAAGGTGAATACATGAATACAGGCCTGATACTGTAGGGCACATCCGTCTACTGTTGCGCTGCTGCAATGACAGCCAGCGTGTGAAATCCCATGCCAGACTGTAAATCAATTCACATGTTGGAGTACTATAACCCTTGATGCAACATATCAAGGCTAGGAGTTGTGGATGCTATTGCCTGTTACTCTCTTCACCTACGTGTATCAGCATGATCAGACTCTTGTGTCATTTTAATTCCGGTATAGCCATTTTTGATTTGAAACGAGTTGATGCGTGTTGCTTGGAGGATGTTGAGATGCATTTCAAGAAAAAAAATAAGAAATGGCCACATGCTTTTCAAACAAAGCCCCCATCTTGCACTTGTGCCCTACCCTCTGTTTAATATAAAGCTTGCCTCACTTAATGTGTGATTTACAGGTTCAACATTTTTTTAACTAAGACATATAGCAAATAAAAACTGTAACCTCATAAATTATTTTTAAGTCAACATTAATAGATTAAAGTACCTATGAACAAGACTTTGATATACTACATATTTATCTTAGATCATGTAAATATCATTACAAGGTTTTAATAACTCCAGCAAAGCGCACAATCAGATGATCAGCCTGTTTTATCAAGCGGAAACTTAGAACTATGAAGAATCAGATCAGGTGAGGCGTGGTCGCCTCATCCCACAGCTCAGCCTGCACAAAAATGTAAATATGACAGAATATCTACGTACAAGCCCAGTTCTGTCCATTCAGAGTTTGAAAGCATAGGATAATAAAATGTCCACATACTGTACATTAGATTATTTAACATGACTTCACAAAGTTGTGTTTTACACCAAGTAACTGCTGCAGAAAGTTGGGTGTTTATCTCCATTTTAGTCAAAGTATTTTCTCCAGTTAGTACACCCGTCAGTCATTTACGGCACAGCTTGACTTAAAAGTCTTGGCACATTTGATCAGAGACAAATGCTACAAAACAGTAATTAATTCCAACAGAATTGTCTTTCTGCCATCTTTACTGCAAAAACAATCCAGCTCTGCCCCCTTGTGGGGAAACACTACATTACAAAGACTTCAGGTGGGGAGAAGGTGCTGCTAAGGGGAACATCTGTAAAATGACAGCATGCTGTCTTATTGCGGTTATGTCTTCACAATCAATATCCTGGAGTCAGTTGAAGTCCTCTCTACGAAGTAAATACTGACATTTGGATATGTTGCACTTTGGGAGGAAGCACCCGAGGCTGCCGTCTTTGAGCGCTGTGTACAGCTGAACCAATAATTGTGTCATATGAGAGTATTGTCTTGTAGGCACAGTACAGCATTGCTTGAAGTGCAGATTTAGCACATCTGCTGTTTAAATGAGGTGGAATGCTGCCTTTGGTTTTGTCATTAGGTTAGACTGCTTGTTGCTCAGAGGACTGGGTGTGATTCGCCTGTAAATGCGAGGAGGCAGCTGACCAACTTCGGTTGCGGAAAAGCCACTCCTCTTGAAATAGATGCACCTCCTCATGCCTCACACGTGTTCTAGAATCCTCGATGGCACTCTAATTGCTCAGTGTGCGTGGTTTGCCGTTGGGGAATGAATGTTGCCCGTCAAGTGTCATATTGTCTGTCTCCTCTGTGTGTTTTTCCACCTCAACGCCAAGACAGAACAGAAAAAGTCACTGCGGTTAAGAACAATCAGAGGTGCCAGTGCACCTAGGAACACCAACATGTCCCACTCCAGACCTTTATTTGTATATTGCTCATGAAAACGTCATGTGTAGACTGGCAGGAGACAGCTCATGATCCTATATGTAACTTTTTGAACTAGACCAACGCAGCACCTTATGTTTAAAATGTGTGTGCTCATGCACTCATATATAAATGACAAAAAAAACATTCATTCTACTCTGATTATTGTAAATTTCAAGTTTGTTCTTGAAAATTCAGTACACATTCAAAGAAATATATATCAAAAGTGTCACACACTGTAATATAGTTTCATGTGAAGGAGTTTGATGAATACCTAATACTGTTAAAACGTACATATTGTGCAGTGAGAGGAGAAACAAAGACCAGTGACATAACATCCTCTCTGCCCCCCCTCTCCATTTCCTTCCTCTCTCCACCAGGAGTTACGACCAGATGAGTGTTTCCACAGAGTGCAGTTTCCGGACTGAATCGGACTGGGACCATCATTCCATGGAGTCCACCTCCATGTTCAGCTTCGACATGACTCAACCATACTGCGCTACTAAGGTTGGTTTTATTAACACATTTTGTGTGTGTGTGAGTGTGCGTGCGCATATGTTTGTGCAGGCATGCATATTTTTCAAAAGTAAACTATCTGCAGTATAATAGTTTTTAGAGCAACTGTAAAGAATGACCATGTCTTTAAAATTATTACTAATTTCTTGATAAAATCATTGATTTCAGGGACATTTGCCTTCATGTTTCAACCACAACAGTACTTATTCAACAAATAAGTACTGTTGCTGGTACATACGGAGTATGTTTGACTTGGAATTACTGTTTTTCTTCTTTCTACTGTTGACATTTTCTACAGCCAACTTTTTCAATGGTGGAATGGGACTAAGCATTTACTCAAGTACTTATTAAGTACAATTTTGAGGTATTTGATGCTCCATTATACTTCTACTCCACCAGGAAAATATTATGCTTTATGACGACCCGCTCTACCTCCTGAACCACAGCCACCCAACTTAATTCAATTTGTTTTATTAATAGAAAATAGAAAATACAGAACAAAACGCTCCAAAAACTCAATACTTCAATAGGTTTAGTTACTATTTATTAACAAAGACTTTATATGCAAAACATGGGTTTGTAATATGATGCACTGTTACACAATAAATAGCATATAAATAATTTAAATTATTTCCTCCTCGACCACCACAACAGTAAAATGCGACTTTCACATTAATGCATCAGCAATAACAATCAAATAATATGATACATTTATATAATAAATAATGGTACTTTTACATTTGACTTTTGCTAATAATTCTTAAGTTAGGCACTTTTACATAAAGGGGCCATGTGTAGTTTTCATTGGCGTCTAGTATTGAAGTTTCAGATCGCAACCACTACATTTCTACGTTTCCAACCGTGTGCTCGAGCACTCAGAATTGGCCAAAACAGAGACATAACAAGAGACAGCATCCCACAAAATGCTGGAAACTCAGGTAAACTCCCACTGCAACGTTACAGTAATATTTTTATCAGCTTGATGATGGAGTAATCCATGCTTGCTACATGATAACACTACATTGACTGCATTTAGCCAACATGATACGTCAACGCTGTGTATCTTTCACAAGAGAGACTCAGCAATGTCAGCATAGATACAATTTATTGGACAATAACAAGCTAGACTGAATATTATAAATGAGAATGATGCCACACTTTAGGACAGTCCTGCACTGTTATGCTGCATAATTATGTGGGTCACGTAAGTTACAGCGACTGGGACTGTTGTTGTACCCAAGTGTTGGTGAATGACAATAAATCTAAATTGCACATTGTAAAGCAAATAACGCCAGACCCATGCTAATCTAACTGGCTGTCCCTGCTTTGCGTCACAATAGGCTCGTAGAAACACATCATAATTAATGAATAAATTACTGTGAGTGAAGATTTTGGGCTGTTACTAGCTGTTCTGCTTTTTCACAGAAATAATTTGATTAGCAAGAGAAGAAATTGACTGGGTTATACCTTCATTACAGTTAGTATTTCCATAAGATTCGGAGGAAGGTGTGGCAGCATACAGTAGAAAGGTATGTTTAGTGTACCTACACACTCGACAGTGGAGAGAACACATAGCTAGTGAAGTAATCTTTATTACTTTCCTGTTTGTTTTCTATAATATCTGCCTGTAGGGGACAGTGGTAAATGTGTGCTTCCCCTTTAAGAAAAGATCCACATAATCCTATGGGATCTCATTGTCCCTGGGCTATACAGACACAAACCTGTCAAACCTGCTCTCAGTGATAGTTAAGACGTGATGCAGTGTACACCAATACGATTCTTAATTTTGTTGGTTTTATAGCAGGGGGAAAAAAAATTGCAGTCTTTAACTTTAATTAAGACCAACGTGATTGTTCCTGTGTGTGCCCTTGCTGTTATCTGCTGCTGAGATCAGAAAATGAAGCACAGCTTTGGCTGACAGATAAGGAAGTGGGCCAAAATGCACACAGATATGGTACTGTATCTCCACCTACCTGACATTTGTCATTGCTATGAGTAAATACAAGGGGAATGGTAGACGACAGGCAGCCATTAATGACTTAAACATACACTGGACACAGGAAACTTAAGTCATGCTCTTTTTTAAAAGTACTGCAACACGGTGGATTTGTGATTGAGTCGTAACAACCTGGAGGTACAGTATCACTGCTTTGACTAGATATTAAAGCCAAAACAACACTTGATCCGAGTGAGCCTACTCAGTTAGGTTTCTGTGTTTCATGCTATTTAGACATAAACTGGAAAACCTGGCCAAATACTGTCTTTACCTGCTGTTAGCATAGTCAAATTATTTGAGTGTTGTTTGTTGCTGTGTGTCGAAACATGTTTTTATCTTAGAAAAATGCCCATTCAGAAGGTACCATGGAAATATTGACATTTAACTCTCAGAGCAGTTAAAATGAATACATTGGATTTATTTATTCATACAGCACTGGATCGGGGCACCTTTGACACATTTCAGTGTATTTAAATTATAGGTTTAATGAGTCTTAACTGATACAAAATGAAGTGATGAATTTTTCCAGCTTTAGAATGGGGAAGGGTGGGGTTTTCTCCAGCAGGTCTATCCACACCCTTTCAGCTTCACTGGATTGTGAAGTCTTTTTGCTTGTTTGCCATGTGAACCATCTTTCACAATAATGTTTTCACACTGTAGCTGTGATGCAAATGGCCGTGCCCTGAAGTCAGGCACTTTGCCGGGACTAGTAACTGTAGACACACACAGGTCATTGCAGCCAGTACTGCTTCTCTGTGTATAAGAGATGACATGCAGTCTCCTGAAGAACCAGGACACATTTATATTTCATTTATGAGCACTTGTGTGGCGACATGCTTGAAGGATCATCCTAAGGCTCATTCTGTTTTCTAAAAGACATACAAAGTAACTTTTTTATCTGCTATTTTTGCGATTCAAGCAGTCATTAGAGACAAAAGGGACTCAGAAGTTTAGACTTCAGGAAGTCAAAATGGTATGTAACTGTTGCTTTTTACACTGTGGTTTGTAATTGTGTTTTCTTTTCTTTTTCTTTTTTTTTTTGACAGTGGTTCATGCTTCTTGTCCAAACATTCTTTTTATACTGTGAAGCGTAAGCCAGGTTTGGCAACGTGTGTTTTACATTGACATGGTGTTTATGTCAGGTCTTCTTGATGCAAAATTAAGTTTATAACTGACACAAACATTTGGCCTCTGCTTTTGTGTTACACTGTACCCTTTGTTAAAAAATGATTTAGTTCTCATTAATTATTAGGCTGTTTTTGGACCTAAGCCTGTCTTGTTCGAATCATTCTCTAGTACCTGCAATAACTTATGTGACCTTTGATCTGAGCATCAAAGACATTGTAAATATCTGTCTGGTTAGTCATTAATTGTTCCACTCTAGCCCGATTGTTTTATCAGTGTGTTGTTATTTGCACCAGGGTGTCTGCATTTGACCTGTTCAGCTGGGTTTAGTTTTGAGTTGATTAAAATAGGCTCTTTAACTTGTAGCTCTTTAAATAGGCATTAGAAAATAGTCTTTATATACTAAAAGATAAGTTATTTCTGTTTGTTTTATACTTGACCTTTTTATTGCCGTTTTATTACCAGAATATGAAATAGTTTAGAATGTAAGCAAGCTCAAAGATGACCTTTCATGAGCACACAAATAGTACTAAAAAAGGAGAAGAAAAGACACAAGACAACAAGATGGCTACAACGACTTATTAGAGAATTACAGAGCTAGGGGATAAAATACGAGATTAAAGTTGTACATTTTTGAGAGAATAAAATGGATATTCTCTGAGATTATATGTATTAAAAAAAAAAGCTATTAACGGAGCAGGGGAAGGGGTAATTTTCTGAGGATAAACTAAGAATTTAAGATTAAAGTCCTAAATGTACGAGAAAAAAACCTCAGAGATTATCCGAGAATAAATCTATGAGATAAAACTCAAATATTCTGCTTTTATGAAGTCATATATTTGCAAGAAAAAACTCTGAGATTAAGCCCAGCTGTATAACCAGTTGGTCCAAGGGTGAAGTGAATTGTTGTGGTAGGATTATAATGTTGAGGCCAGTGTTTGATTTACAAATCATGAGGTCCTGGAACACAGAGCGGGGGCTGTTTCAGCTGGTCAGGGGGATAGAAAATACACAGTGCCTGGAGCACATTGGACAAGCGCTAGGTGCTATCTCTCTCTCTCTCTCCCACCGCTCTTTCAATTTCCCATCATTTGACTTCTTGTCAGAGGATTTCTGCTACAGTGAACCACAACAAGCAAGCAGGCTAAGAAACCAAAGAAAATGCCCTTTTGTGTCTATCTATCAGCGCTGCACCCCTTAATTTAGCAATTTCACCATTTCACAGCACTAACCAGCTGAATGATTTTTGTGTCAGAGCATTTGACTTATTGATTGCTGCCGCGATGTAAAAGGAATTTCAACCAATATAACAAAAATACTTCTGAAATAAATGACCTACCCCAGTTATTTCTTGGAATACTACCCCACCTCCCCCAGCTCTGTAATTGATTTATTTTTACCTACAATCTTGAGACATAGCCTAGTAATTCTATTTATGACATACGTTCAAGCTACAGATGCACAGATTGATCGGCTGGTTACTAGAATCAGCCGGTTTTCAGCTTACCGTGGCACAGAAAATAACCGACTATTGTCACAGCCAGACACACACACACACACAAGTTCTCACCATGAGTGAATAAGACACAAATTCCTGTGTACCCCACACAGACTTTACTTAAGCAGGCCGGTCAGGGGAGCGTTTCCCAAAAGCATCTTTCCAAACTACAGTAGCAACTTCTGTGTTTGGAACTATGCAGTTGCGACACAATAGTTTCCCAGAATCCTAGTTTGAATTATGGAAGTTACTGTGTTGGTTTACGTTTCTAGGTCTGTGAAGAAGATGGGCGTTCTCTAGTCTTTATCGCAAACTTATATAGGCAGAGACAGCATAAAATTCAAAAAGTACTTTAATGAATTAATCCCTGAGAGCTTTCGTTGCTATTGTGACAAAGATAAACAGAACACCCAGGTTTCGAACCCATGTCAGTAGATTAAATCTACCAGCTCACCCATTCAACGCACTATATTGATATATATATATATATTTGTAACTGCAGTTGCTCAAGGGAAATGTGTGGTAAATTATGTCAGTATTTCTCAGTTAGCTTTTGACCATGTATCTGTAGCATGGCTTTTAGTTTTCATTCATCTTCAGTTTTTTTAGCAAAGCCAGAGAGAGAAGGATGTGGCAGCTGCTCTCTCGCTTCAATATTTATCTTTCTGTCTGCTTCTTGTCTGTCCACTTTCAGAATTCGGAGGAGAAGAGGGGAATGTTTGATCGCCTCAGCAATTTCTTCAACTCAAAGAGAAAGAAGAGCAGTAGTAGCAGGAAGCATACAGACACATTAGCTGATGCAACGTCCCCGTCGTCCCCCTTGTCTCCATGTTCACCCCAGTCTCAAAAGGATGATGGGCTAAAGACTCCAACTCCCTCTCGAAAAGACAGTGAACTAACAGGGCCTCGTTATGCAGAGTCTGAAAGGGGAGCAGGGTGCGGTGACACAGTCAGCCACAGCTCCAGTCCCAGCGCCTCAAGCATTGCTTCTTTGCTGACGGAAGGAGCAGAGTTCCCATTCGCAGATAGTAACAGCAGTGGCCGAAGCAGTGTGAGGGAGGTGCGTGTGTGCGGTGAAATGAATTCTGGGAATGTGACTCCCACCGCTCTGGACCTTGCTACTACTGCCCCTCATCCAAGTGCTGATTTGAGTTCAGAACTAAGCTTTGCAGAGTCAGTGGTGGAGGAGGTAAGCAAGAGGCTGCAGGTCAGTTTGGAAGAAAGTACCCTGAAGACTACAGAGGGTTCCAGTGAGGATAATGCAGTTAACCAAACCACACTGTCCACATTTGAAACCCCCCTTTCCAAGGCAGCTGAGAGCCCAAAGTCACCTAACTTAACCTCTATAAGCATAGGATCAAAGAACATGTCAGTGAAAGTTGGAGAGAAAGGGCACAGAACTGCCATAAGAGGAATAAATTTAGGCTCTCAGTCGTCCACCTCACACCTCATCACGACTCAACGGGAAGATGGAGACTCTCCAGATATAGCAAGGGAAAACTCAGGAGCCAGGAGGAGGGCTCGGATATTCTCTTGTGAAACTGTAGCCCCGCCGTGTAGCCCTGCAGCTGAGAAAGAGCAAGTACCCAGGGGTGATTCTCCTGTCCAGCTCCACAAAGCCATATGGGTGGAAACACACCTGGGAGAGGAAGAGGAATGGGAGAGGGAGGGGGAGGGGGAGAAGGATATAATGAAAGAAGAGGAGGAGGGCTTAAGAGCAGACTCGCCTCCCGTGCTGGCTATACCTGTCACAGTAATTCCTGAGGACGAGTCAGTCGCTCAGGGCACTGCAGACAGCCCTTCTACCCCCTCAGAGACTTTGCTGTCCAGTGGCAGCTTTCCAGAACCTGCCATCTCCTTGGCACCGACTACAGGGGAGTTCCAGACAACCTTTCCGAAGCCAGAGGAGGCTGACACTGGCACACACTCAAAGCAAAGTTCACTTCAGGAGAAACGCAGATCGAGAGAAATCCGTGTTACGCGCAAGACCGTGAATCTGCCTTCAAAACACAAGGTTTTTGCCCAGAAAGTGTACGTTAGCCCAGAGCCAAGTTTGGATGGGAATGAGCCGACGGTAGAGGAGTACAGCAGAGATTCAGTTTCAAAGACTTCAGAAACAACTGAAGTGAAACCGTGAGTACCTCTCTATTTTAATTTTCTGTGGTTAGTGTTTAACAGTCCCTTTGATCTGGGGAGAAATGGAAAGCAGGGGAGCTAAAGAGAGCTAAGCTTGCATGCAACCTGAGCTCTGAGTTCCCATGCTCCATTGTACCAGAGGACAACAATACAGGCTAATGCACTGAGGCACTGAAATATTCATATACAGAACATCTAATCATACAAAAACAGTGACTAGTACTAGTACTGTGTAGATTATGCTCAAAATTCCTAGAAAGACATTGTTACTTACTAAACAATACATCTAGTAGTAATTACTCCAGGAGTATTTTTCTTTTTTTAAAGTTTCAATTGAAATGAAGGTCAACTTGCTGTGTTACTTTGCTGTGTATATTCACTACCTCTATAAGTTAGCCATTACAAAACTTGACAACTGGCGACTACTGCCTGCACGCTTCCGTTTGATATTAGTGTGACATGATTATATTTAGACACATGCCTGTAGAAAAAATGTCTTACCTCATTCATATAGAGACTGCTCTCAAAAGAATGACTTCTGTAATATGTTATGATTTATTTAGTTACTGTGCACTCCAGGCTGGTGATGGCCTGAAAAACACCTGAATTATAGTTTGACCCGAACCCTAACTGCTGCAGGGGCATTCTTTTACATAGCTCTGGGTTTTATATACAGTCTATGGTTTTAACAGTAGTTTCTCTGTTACCTTTGAACTTGAAATGGAATGCTACACCTCAAGGTTAAACTACTTTAAGACACCAAAACCTTCACAATATAAAAATGAAATAATGTTTATTTGCTTTCTTCCTACGAGTAAGATGAGAAAATTGACACCGTGCTCACACTTGTCACATGTGCAATGCTAGCTGTTTCCCCCTGTTTCCGGTCTTTTTGCTAAGCTAAGCTAACCAGCTGCTGGCTCCAGCTACATATTTAGCACACAGATGTGAGAGCGGCATCCGTGTTTTCATCTTACTTGGGGCAAGAAAGTAAGGGTATTTCCCAAAATGTCAAAATATTAAATCACATGTAGAGACTTTATCATTCTGTCAGGAGAATAAAATGATGCATTTCATTGTTCCTTATTTATAGACCCATACAGTATGTTGTTATTAAAGTAAACTATTTATGTCTCTTCTCCTTTCAGACTTCTAATCCATCAAAACAACAACAATGTGGAATTTAAAGTGGCTGAGCTTGAGCCACTTCCAGCAGCACACTCTGACACAAACGCTCCTGAACCCTTAGTAGAAAAACCAGACTCAGAGGCCTCTGACTTAGGTGATTTCTCTGCAACCACAGACATGAACAGAGCAAAGCCACAAGCGGTGGAATCTGGGTTAAAAGGCCAAAGGACTAACCAGGCTACACCCTCTAAACGAGATGTTACAGCTGCAGCAGAAAGTCGGCATACCACAGCAAGTGGAGCAAGGAGCCCATCCTCAGCAGCTGGCATCAAGGCCAAAACTGTGACAACAAAGGCTAAGGCCTCTCCAGAGAGCACAAAAGTGGGAACTTCCAGTGATTTGCCGCTACAGAGGGAACATAGCAATGATAAAACTGCTTCTGTGTTACCAACATTAAAAGACAAAAACACAAGTGGCCCCTCAAGTGCAACAGGTTCAAAGTCTAAAATCCCCAAAAAGTCAACATCAGATGCTGAAGTGAAATCACCAGTGACACCAGATAAAACATCAGTGACTGATGCGTCTGGGTTAGTGGCCACCTCCAAACTGCAGAAACAACCCAAAACCAAAGAATCTTTGAAATCTCCAGTAACTACAACCAAAGCTGGCAGGAAACCAAGTTTTGAAGAAGCCAAGGGAAGAAGAGCCCTATCAGGAGAAATTTCTCCCACAAAAACAACACACAAGACAGGAACTAAGGCTATTAAAGAAACATCAGATGCGCCCAGTGACTCTATAAGCCTGGTAAATGGCATGGAGAAAGACCACAAGGAGCATAGTATTAAAACAGAACACCCAACTGACAGGGAGAGCCCGGATGTCAAAAAACAAGGGCAAAGTCACCTGGAGAGTAATACCTCCCTGGCATCGAAGAGTCGGTTGCCCATTTCATCTCCGACAAGAAAGGGGAAGGATGAGATAACTCAAAGTGGAATAAACTATAAAAAAATTACATCTAGTCAGACAGACTCCATCAGACCCAATACAGTCCAGAAGCAGAGCCCAGAGCAGATAGAAGTAACTCCTGGTGAGAGACCTGGTAGTGAGTCACCACCCCCGCTCTCTGAAAGTCCCAAGAAAGGTAAGACACCGATCACAACAACACGTTGTATGCTAGAGAGTAAATCCGGCAGCTCCAGGACTGTTTACATTTTAACAAACTCATTTTAACAAACTCATTGAGTGAAAGTTGACTTGAGGTTTAAAAAAGGTTTGTGTGTTAATGGCATAGTTTCAGCTCATTTGCTTTTCTTGCTGAGAGTTAGATGAGCTGATTGATATCGCTCTTATATCTGTGCAGTAAATATGTAGCTACTGTCAGCAGCTGTTTAGCTCAGCTTAGCACAAACACTAGGTTTTGGCTCCAGCTTTCTATTAACAGTACACATGTGGAAGTGGTATTTAGCTTCTTATCTACATCTTAGCAAGAAAGCAAATAAGGGTAATTTTCAAAACGTTTTACGATTCCTTTTAGGTATGGACATTTATTGTCATGTGAGATTTTTTGTTGTTGTTATATTTAAACTGTGTGTGTGTGTGTGCGCGCGTGTGTTTCCAACAGGAAGCATGCTGTCAACAAGGCCATTCAAACGCCTCTCTAAAAGAAGCACTAGCCATGAAGACAGTGACACACCCACCCTGTGTGTCTCTCCACCTCCCACCAAGCAAGAGAAAACTGTCTCTTCGAGGCTCTCCAAACAGAGCGACAACATCAAACACCACAAAGATCCGGTAAAGGATTCAGCGGATCCCTCGTCATCTGTAAGCAAGCTTCCTCGAGGTGAGAGAGGCTCCAACAAAGTAAAATCCAGAAAACATTCACCGACTCAGAATTCTGCAAGCACATGTACACCTGAACAGGAGGACTCAAATCAGAACACTCACACAGAGACAGCTGTCAAAGCATCAGAGAGTGTCCGAGCAGAACAAGGGACTGATAATCCCAGTGGTGACAGATTTAATTTCAAGTCTCTGTTTGCAGGGAAAGACATAATAAAACTCACAAACAATCAGTCCAGTACCAGTGAAATCAATGTGAAAGAAGAAGAGACAAAGGAATTAGCGGAGCGCTTAACCAGTCCTACAACTAAAGAGATTTCAAACATCCATAGCTCACTTACAGGCCCAGGACCTGAGGTATCGCCTAGCAGTGTGGTTGTCAGTGCAAGTCCATCTCAGTCTCCAGTTGCTGATGTAAATAATGCTGATAGCCAGGGTGGACGGTGTGAGACCAAACAACAAACAAGAGCTGAGTCTCCATCTGATAATGTATCTCCCATTCAAAGTGACAACACCACACAGGGACAGGAAACACTGTTCTCACCAAAGATTTGTCCAGAAGAAGTAAAAGAGACAGACGTTTTAGAGACAGCCCAGCTAATAAATAACATAAAACCACATTTAATCCAAGAGAAAAGCCTTCCAGAGACAAATTCTGCTCAGGAAATAAAACCAGCTCATGAGGATGTAACTGATATGTCAGCCAAACCTGTTGCTGTTGAAAGCATTCACTGTGACATAATTACCCACTCTGATCAGGAAGGTGTTATGCCCCATAGTGGTTCACTTAAAACAAATACGGTCATTTCTAACGAATATAATGCCAGACATTGTCTATCTGCCAACTTGGCCTCAAAAGACCAAGATGCAGAGCTAAAAGATGTACTTTCAGCCACTTCTATTGCTGTTTCAGTTAATGCTAACCTGGCCACAACAGAGCAACAAAGGGAGTCATTGAAGGATCCAACCACAAATATCATTCATGAAAATGATAGAGTGCCCCCATTAAGCAGAGATTTCGTAAAAGATTTTGAGGTAGAAGAGAAAAGTAAAGAGGAGGTTGGCAGGAAACCAGCAGAGGCTTTGGACATTCACACAGTGACTGTAAGTGTTTGTGAACCGCCCAAGAATGTTGAAAATCAGCTGGACAAAGAGCCTCTTTTTCTGGCAGGAGAATTTGAAAGTCAGAAGAAAGAGTCCAAACCAAATGAAAAGCGGAATGATGCAGCAGTGGAAAGCACTGACTCACAGAACAGTTGCAAAGAGGAGCTCAAGGGCATAACAATTATGGACAAAGCCGACAAAGACATTACAAAACCAGAGAAACCAACACATTCATCATCACATGAAAAACATGTACAGCCTGAGTCAAAGGAGGAACCACAGACGGTGGTTACAGATGCCCTGAAAGAGAAGAAGACAGAGGCAGAGGAAGCAAGAAGTGCAGTCCGGGAAAATATAGCCAGTGTTGTTGATACAAAGCAGGAATGTGAGTTCCTTTTAAAAGAAACTGCAGAGGGTGGCGATAAGGAAACAGATCAGCAGATGAAGGCGTCAACTGTGAAAAAAGTATTTCTAACCAAAGATGAGGAAGTTAGGGACAACGAAGAAAATCAGGAGGGCAAACACAGTGATGTTGTAAAGAAGAGTCTAAAATCCAAAAGCACCAAAACTCAGAGTGCTGAAGGGACTAAAGTAGAGAGGGAAACAAAGGATCCATCCAGGAAGACTTTACCAAATGAGACTGGAGTTGCGACGGCTAACTCTGAAGTTAGCAACCAACCGGACCAGAAGTCCACAACTGTTATTCAACATGAGGATGTAACAAAACCAGACAAACCTAAGTCAACAGAATCCAAACCTCTAAATACTGACCTCAAACAGGAACCAGAAACAGTAAGAACAGACGTTCCAGAGAAGGAATCAGAAAGCCAAATTCAAAAGCTAAAGGTGGCAAGCACCAAAACTCAGAGTGCTGAAGGGACTAAAGTAGAGAGGGAAAGAAAAGATTCATCCAGGAAGACTTTACCAAATGAGATTGGAGTTGCGACGGCTAACTCTGAAGTTAGCAACCAACCGGACCAGAAGTCAACAACTGTTATTCAACATGAGGATGTAACAAAACCAGACAAACCTAAGTCAACAGAATCCAAACCTCTAAATACTGACCTCAAACAGGAACCAGAAACAGTAAGAACAGACGTTCCAGAGAAGGAATCAGAAAGCCAAATTCAAAAGCTAAAGGTGGCAAGCACCAAAACTCAGAGTGCTGAGGGAGGTCATGAGAAGACGGAAACAAAGGATTCATCAATGAAGAGTTTATTGAATGAGATTGTAATTGAGAATGCAAAGTCTGAAATAAGCACCCAAAAGGACCAGAAGCCTTCAATTGTCAAAGACGAATATGTGGAGATGTCAAAACCAGAGGAAAACATTGATCAATCCACAGATTTCAATGCCCCAAATGCTAATTCTGTTGTTTTCATAACTGAAAAAGCATGCAATGAGACTGCTAAGAAAAAGGAACAGAAAAACCTCATTAAAGAGGGTAGTGAAGTGACAAAGCATGATGATCAGCTGATGAAGGCATCAAAAATAGGTGCTAAGCAGGAGTTGGAACCCATTTTTGTAAAAGACACATCTAGCAAAAAAGGTGTTGGACAACAGAAAGACACACCCACTGTTGTTCCATATAAAGTACTTAAAAGTTGTAATGCTCCAAAGAATGATGAAGGCACCAAAGAAAAAACTAAAACAGATAGTGTGTTAAAACAGGAACTGCAGACTTTAGGAGAAGAGAAAACCAGAAATGTCAGTGATCCACAAAAGCCTGCAAAGCCAACAACCAATGGTAGCATGTCTCTCGCTGCTACAGCGAAACCATCCTCTCCATCTCAAAGTCCTGAGACAAAGAAGGAATCTCCATCTAGCTGGTTAGATGTTGAACATCATCAAAAACAGAAGAAGAAGGAGCATAAGAGAAGACTAGATGCCTCAGCCAGTGAGGATGAATCTCTTGAGCCTGATGACTTTGATGATTTTATCAAGAGCGTTAAGGACTGCAGCATTCCTTTCTCACTACCTCCAAAGAGGCATATTTGTAAAAAGTCCTCATCCCCACCTTTTGCCATGCCGGCCATAAAGGAGGATCATTTTGAGAGAACGTTTGATCCGGAGGAATTCCAGTTCGGTTTAAGAAAAAACAGCAAAGGTTTAAGGGATCCTTCCCCAGCTATGTTAATTAAACAAAAAGCAGAGACTAGGGTAGGAAAACGTACACACGATAATGCCATGCACACAACTAGAGACCAAATGAAATCCCTTGATGAGATGGAAGGAAAAGATGGAGTCAAAGAGGGGACACATATTGAAGCAGAAAAAGAACAGGGACAAAACAATGGAGAAGAGCCTGGAAAGCTGACATCACGACTTGAAAGGATGTCCATCCTCTCCAGCTTACTGAACTCCCCTCGATCCTCCAGGAAGACCAAAGAGGAAGCTATCTCCGCCTCAAATAGCACACGTTCATCTAATCAACAACAGGACTTGCCCTCGCTTGAAAAGCAGGGAGTTGTTGATTCACCTCTGCCTGGCGCTGAAGCAGATAAGGAGGGAGTGAAAGGTAGAGACCAAGGCCCGCTTGTGGGTGAGTCAGCACTCAGTCCCTCCTCTCCTCCTCCTTTGCCCTTGTTCACTGAGATAAAGCTGCCCGATCATTTAGAGAAATATCTCAAGAAGAACAAAAGAGGGTCTGAGGCCTCCCAGGGCTCTACACAGACGTCTGAAACTAAACTAAATCCCGAGAGGAGTACTGTGATGGACAAGGCCTCAGTAGCAGGAGTACCTAATGTGGATGTGGGCCTGAAAGACCCTGTAGGTGTGCGTCCAACCAGCAACTCCAGCCAGCATACTTCTCAAAATGGACTTTCTACGTCTAAGACTAAGGTAGGAATTTCATTCCTAAATTTAAGGAAGAGCTTCACTAATTGTGTAATAATTCTTTCACTGGTTATTACTAGCAATCTAGATAATGAACAGCCCAAGGCAGGAATGGGTTATGACCTGCTGGGCTGTTCCACAAAGCATTGATATTTCCTAGTTTATTTCCATGGTAATGTGTCTCAGTTAAATATCCTGTTCTTGTGTTTTGTGGTGCTGTTGCAACAAGTCATGAATCGTTAGCAGGTGAGGGCAGGAAAAAGGAGCATGTCCTCAGTCTGGAGTTTTCAGCTAATGCTCCACTTTCACATCACAATAAGATATTTGCATCACTATGCAAATAAAGCAGAAAAATGCAAAAAACACACGTTTGTGTTGAGATGAACACAGACACATTTAATACTTGCTGTACAGCATGTGTTCATTTCTCTTCCTTTAAGACCATTGGCATTACAAGACCATTATTTTGGTTCCTTTTAATCAAAATGTATATTCTACCTCAGTGATTGTACCCCAGGGTACTTCTGGAGTTGGATAAGGTAATGTATGTAATAGATACATTGTTAGATCGGTGAAGTAAAGGATTAATGTAATGACTACACACAGTTGAAATAGTTATCTAAAAGTAATGAATAAATACTTTGAATATATAGTAGATGTAAATAGATAGTAGATGGGTACAAAACTTGACAAACTTGTATGTAAACATTATTGTACTGTTATCCACTTTTATATAATTAATAGTGTTAAATAATGTTTACTTTAAAACAAATGAATATCAACACATTTGGTAGTGATTAGAAAAGTTTCTTATTTCTAGAAATAATTTGACTCTGAAGAGGCTAACGAGTTAGCTCTACTGTTTGGAGGGCTGACATCTTTTTTAAAGAACTGGTTCAAGCTAAGATTAACAATATTACATTTTCTTTTAGATACCTGCAGTAAGAGGGTTCCACAAAAGGCCTGGAAAGGTATGATTAAATGTTATTTACTTGCATTTTAGACTATGTTAATAATAAATTTTTTTGTTGCAACATATTTTAATGAAATTATTTTTTTCCATCCAGATTGTCATCCATGAACAAGCTCAGTTTGAAGGGGAAACGTTTGAACTCTACAGTGATGTAGAGGATGCCACCACAATGAAGCTGTCCCCTGTTATCTCAGTCAGAGTCATCAGAGGATGGTAAGGGTCTTTGTGCTAGTCTAAGTCCCTGCAGGTTTAATATGAATGATGATGATCATAAAAGCCATTTACTAATTACCCCCCTTTAGCTATCCATAAAGAAAAAGTTAAGATTTTTTTATGATATCATTTTCTTTGTCTTTAGCTGGCTCCTCTATGAAAAACCTGGCTTCCAGGGTCGTGTCATTGCCCTTGAGGAAGGTCCCACAGAGCACATAGTGAATATGTGGGCAGAGGAGGAAACTCCAACGACACTAGATCAGAAGGGTCAGCCTGTACCTACAGCACCTGTGGTCATAGGTTCTCTCCGATTGGCAGTTAGGGTACGTTGCCTAGTCCTATGTTATTATTATTATGTCATTGTTATATGTCCTGTAATTTTGTTTTATTAATCCTGGGGTTCATATAGTTCCCGTGGGATTCCAAATAGCTTTGGTTATCTAACCTTCTCCTTGCTTACTTAGTTTTATACTTTAGTTATTATTTTGAGTCAATTTCTGATTTTAATCAAACGTTTATAATACTCAAAGTAATGTGTCATAAACACACACCCCTCATGCAATTTTATTTTTATTTTGCGTTCTATAGGATTACAGCATACCCCGAATTGACCTGTTTGCAGAGGTGAATGGGTTGGGGAGGATGTCGTCTTACTGTGACGACACTGTAGAGATTGGCTCCTATGGGATTCCACAGACCACTGGCTCCATTAAGGTCCATTCTGGAGTGTAAGTTCACCTCACACTTGTTGACCTCAAAAGTTATTTTGTGTCATTTAAAGTAACATGGACTATATGTAAATGTTGCATTATAGAAACATCTTTCAGTTACATTTTTAGAGACAACTACGCTACTAACCACTAGTTTAAAGCTCACAAGTCTGTGTGCACCGTCTGTTTTCTGTCTGTGAAGGAATGCGTGTTGCAGGCTACAGCTTGTGGTTGTCATAGAGAGTGAAAGTACAGCATTTAGTCCCTTCATTATCTCCACCAGGTGTAAGCCTGAAGGGGGTCATGTGTTTGGTTGTGTGTGTGTGTGTATTTGTCCTCAGCCAATCTCCATATAAGACCAGACCCATCAGGCTATTATTTCTTGTGCATATTTATGACTGTATGCTCAAGGACTTCTCATGTTTGCGGTGATTCACAATATTTTAATATTGGTGTCTTTTATGTGTGTCGGTTTGGTCTTTAGCTGGCTGGTGTACACTGATCCAGGGTTTGAAGGCTTTGTAGGAGTGCTGGAGGTGGGGGAGTATCCCTGCCCAGAGGCCTGGGGTTTCCCTGAGCCCTTCATCGGGTCTCTCAGACCCCTCCGAATGGTATAGCACATAAAATATGGATATTTGTTTTCACTCATTTTGTCAATTGTCTTTGTCTGACAAATATGTGTCTCTTCATTACAGGGACTAATTAGGGTGGATCATCCTAATGAATTAAAGGTGTGTTTTGCATATCACATTTATTGCATCTGTCAATATCTGCTGTTTTAAAGAAAGTTCTTCTTTTCCTGATTCCCTACAGGGATCAAACATAATGGTCAGATTTTTGTTCAAGCAGGCAGAACTAAAGCTGCAACAGTGTTTAAATGAAGAGTATATCCAATCACTTCTTGTGTGTGTATGCTAACAGGTCTTGGCCCACAGACTATACTCTGCCCTGTGTATCTTATCACCTGACTGACAGATATGAGATACTGTATGTCAAGAGTATATGGTACACTGCCATTTGTCATCCTTCATTGTGGAATGAATAGCATTCTATTGTACCTTAGGACAGAAATGAGTCATAAACACATATACGGGCACTCACACACACACACACACACAGACACACATTTAAGGCCTGCGTTTACAGCTAAGGCTCAGCTATAACTCCTTCCTGTCCTTCTCTCACCCAGGCCTTGGTGTTTGAGAAGCCCAACTTTGACGGAGAGTGCATAGAGGTCGACAGTGATGTGTACAACTTGCAAGAAGAACCGGGAGAGGAAAAAACAGGCAAACCGGACGACAAGAAGAAGACATTGTCTGCAGTGGGGTCTATAAAGATACTCGGTGGTCTGTAAGTATGTGTTTGAGTTAGTAGATGCAGGGGTGTGATCATCATCATCGGCCAACGCTTTTGTTTGGCAGGCAGCCAACCATTAGGGTTTTTTTTTTTCTTAAAATAAAATAAGACTCAAATAAAAGTACAAAAGAAATCTACCATTATGTGTGCAAAAAAATGTGTTTATGATAGTTAGTTAGTAGTATTTCTCTCTTTTGTCCTTGTAGCTGGGTGGGCTATCAAGAGGCAGACTTCGAAGGCCAGCAGTACATCCTGGAGGAGGGGGAGTATCCTCACTTCAGTGACTGGGGAGGATCTGAGGACGGGCTCCTGTCACTCCGGCCTGTACGCACAGTAAGTATCACCAGCAACATTATTGACATATTGAAATGATAATCTGCAAGATTTCTTGTTTCCATCTGTGGCACTAAGCACTGATTGCTCTGAATGAGTTCACTGTTCATTTAAACAGTTCCCAGTCGGCCCGAGAATTGGCTTTTCACTTTCTGATTTTCTTAATGTGTTTTTTTCTTCCCAAGGATTTCCTGTCCCCCCATATTAAACTGTTCACTGAGCGGCACTGTGATGAGCTGGGGCTCAACGTGGACTTGATGGTTCCTGTCTTCAACATGGAGGATGTCGGCTACGGTGTCAAAACTCAGTCTGCCAAAGTCATGGGTGGAGTGTAAGTCAAATAGAAAACTCACAAAGTTAAAATTCATAAGGAGGGAGGGAAACAGTTTGACTCTGCGATGTCCACACCCTTATGGTGTTTGGACGTGTGCTTCTCACCTTCCAGACGTGACTAAGCGTTCTGTTACCGTACACACAAAAATGCACACGTGCACACAAACAGCCCTAGAGGTTACAATTACAGTGTGAATAATCTAGTGTGACTGATCCATTTGGGTAATTATTAGATCAGGTTTGACAAAGGAAAAAAGACTGTTTCCATCACTTGAGGACAAGGATTTACACTGAGGTTGTGAATAAGAAGAATGGTTAGTTACTATTAGAGATCAACAACAGAGAACAAGCTTCTTTTAGAAGCTTCAGCAAAGAAAATGATCCAAGTACGCTACATACTGAAATACATTTTTAAGTCTGAGCTGAATCTTAAATAATACCTTTAAAGCATGGCACACATTTTTTAGTTAACATATTTTTGTCAATCAGCCAACTGACCATTTGGTGAATGAGTGGATTTGTTGAACCTTTATCACCACCCTCATGTAACATTCCTCTGTTTGCTTTACATCTGCTTCGTCTGCTGAATCATTTTACAACCTCTTAGAGGCATGGGCTTATCTTTTTATAATGGTAGCAGTTCAGTACAGTGATTTAATCAGAGCCTTACTTGCATCTGTCTTTAATGAATCAGTTGTGATGAGTTACTCAGTCGCTGTGGTGCTTTGCATGATGTTTTTGTGTCCCTGGCAGGTGGGTGGCATTTGAGAAGCCTGGATTCAGCGGAGAGCTCTATGTCTTAGAGACAGGCCTGTATGCAAGCCCAGAGGACTGGGGAGCCCAGGACTTCAAGATCTCATCCATACAGCCTGTTTTCCATGTAAGAAATGAATCCTAGAATCATTTAAGCTTTTAAAATAAATACAGCTACAGCTACATGACCATTTTTTATATGAATGACAAAGCTAATGTTAATACCTCCCTCCTGTTTGTTCTATAGGACACACTGATGGGAACAACAAAATTTAAGGTATCATCCCTCCATTCAAGGTTTTATATAAAATGAATTAACCCATATTTCTTCAACCATCTTGGTTGTCTGTTCCTGCTGGGTCATTAAGTTCTGTTTGGATGTGTGTTATAGGTGCAGCTGTATTCTGAGCCAGACTTCCAGGGAAGGCTGGTGGCTCTGGAGGACAGCGCAGCAGCTCTAGATGAGGATTTCATACCCAGGTCCTGTAAGGTGCTGGCTGGCAGGTAGGCACAGATGAACTGGCACTAAACACCGCGTGGAACTGTCAGTGACATTGTCGATATAAGAGATAAGGCATGACTGGCTGAAAAACTAATACTGTATTTATTTGGCACCAAGCTAACAAAAAAAAGGTGCCTGTGCCAAATTAAAATCTCTTTTTTAAGTTCATTTACATTTTTTGATTTCACATGAGAGGGAGGAATGTGACAGCCCTTGGTTCTAATACACCCATTTAGAAACACTGAATAAACTCAGCAACACATGGGGGAGCCATGTTTCACCTTTCAGTGACAATAACAAACAACCTACCTTACCAAAGTGCCAGGTAAAGTATGTGCCAGGGAGTTGAGTGTATAAAGTAGTGTGATAAAAAGGGATTTTAAAGATGAGTTAATGAGAGTTATCAGCAAAATTGAAGAACAATGTCACAACAATAATGTGTGTATGTGTGTCTTTCTGTGTCAGGTGGGTGGCGTATGAGGGAGCCCAGTTCACAGCGAACATGTATGTGTTGGAGGAGGGAGAATACCCCAACACAGAGGCTATGGGCTTCCTGTCATCAGACTCTACCATCCGCTCCATCCAGACCGCTGCACATGTGAGTTCTGTCTATGTGTGTCTATGTAAGGCTACATTTGGGTCGTTTGTGGTGCTCACTCTGCCTTGTTGGTGATAAAGGAATCATTGTAAGACTCTGTGGATGAGGCTAATGATGAATTAAACCCTCTGGTTTTCTTGTTCAGGAGCTTTCTCTGCCCTCCATCATCTTGTTCAGTAAGGTGGGCTGTAGAGGTCGCAGAGTGGTGTTGACAAATGGAGACGTGAACCTTCAGCAGGCAGGCCTGGATGCACACATACGCTCCCTGGTGGTGGAGGGAGGAATGTATGTCACTACTTTAAAATCTCCATTACCTTATGTTTTTGGTATATTTAAAGGCACGGCCTGTAATCTAAATTCAAACTAATTAGTAGAGACATCACTAGCAGTCAAAACCTGCAAATTAATCCTAACTTGACTGAAAGGTCATAAAATACACAAATACAACAAAATTAAAGGTATTAATGTTTTATACTAGTCTGGATACATTGTAGCATTTTGAATGTCTGAGTAACACACAAAATGTTGATTTTCTTTAACTTCAACATATTTAAACCAGCACTTTACCCTTTAGCCAAACTTCAAAAATCAACTTAACCAAAATTTTAAACATCATATTCCAGAAGAGGTTTCTTAAATGATGGGAACTCATAACCTCAGACTGTTCGTTGCAAATTTGTGAAGCTGAACTAACACACATGGCTGCCTGTCTTCTCCCCAGGTGGGTGTTGTATGAAGGCAGTAACTACTGTGGTCGACAGCTGCTTCTCCAGCCAGGTGAAGTGGGCGATTTGTGCAAGTTCAGTGGCTGGCAGCGAATAGGATCCCTACGTCCATTACTCCAGGTATGGAAGAAGGGACATGGGCCCGTCACAAATTGTTGTATGACGTAGTCTCATTCCATAAGTTCATTTCGGTTCTTACATTCAATTACATTTTTTTTATACAGCACCAGTTCACAGCAGACATTATCTCACAGCACTTTTCATATAGAGAAGGTCTTTCAGTTCCTTTAATGCCAATTAAACATTCAGGTCTCTGTAATAGGATGTGATGGTCAATGGTATTGAATGCAGCATTAAGATCTAACAAGAAAAGCACAGAGACAAGTCCTTTATCTGATGCAATTAGAAGGTCATTTGTAGTTTTCAGTCTCTAGGCTGTGTACTATAGCAAAAAAATCCTCAAATACACTATTAATTATATATATAAATTGCGAGTGGGCTTTTTAAGAAGAGGCTTAATTACAGCTACTTTGAAAGGACTTTGGTTCATATCCTGTTAATAAAAAGGGAGTGCTAAGGGTTAAACTTCTTTGAGCAGCCTATTTGAGGTGAGGATGGGATCCAAGAGACAGGTCGATGGCTTAATGGAGAAAATAAAAAGGAGGAATGTATGATAAATGAAATACCAAATAAAACACTGTCAGATTTATATTAAAAAAAAAAAGTAACACATCTCTCTGTAAATTACTATTTATTCATGGATCAAATCAAACCTTTTCCACGTTTCCCTCCAACAGAAGCCGCTGTACTTCCGTCTGCGGAACAGGAAGACGGGATGTGTGATGTCCCTGACAGGAACTTTGGACGACATCAAGCTGATGAGGGTTCAGGCTGTGGAGGAGACAGGAGGGGTAGAGCAGGTCTGGCTCTATCGGGATGGGCTGCTTACCTGCAAGGTACAGCACTATACCAACACCAAGCAAAACTGCTTAAAAACTGGTCAGGGGTTACAGCAAATCATCCTCTCTGTACAGACTCTACTGAAGTTCACAGGGACAACAGACAACTTTACTGATTTGCTTCAAAATTATTCAGTGATATTATGATATTATGGCTCTAAAATACAAACAATAGCCATAAAACATACAGTATAATCAAAAGTGTTTCATCTATGGTAGGATGGCCTTAAAAGTCTATGATTTACCTGTTAAGTTTCTGCAGAAGCTGTAGTACTCTCTCTGGCACTGTTAATTTAGTTAACACCATACATTTAAAAAAGGTTGTGATAAAGACACTATGGAGGAAAAAAAAACATGCATTCCCATTATGTCCGCTAGTTTGGTGGAAAATAAAGCAATGGGACACATATACATTAATAAATATTTTCGATTATGAAGTAACACATGTAGGGGAATGTTGCTGCTAAGGCGGAGGCATCAGTGGAATGCACCGTGTGAGAGCTTTGTTGTTTAGAGTTTGTCTTTTAAATAAATAATAAAATAACAAAAGAAAGAATGGCTTGGAGAAGTGCAGTAGTTGTCTTTGTAGATTATGATGGCTACCAGTTGGCCACAATATAATGATTGGTTAAACTGCTCTTTAAGATTGAAATGAACCAATACTCAGTAATGCGTCTTCATCATGTCTCCAGCTGGTGGAGGACAGTTGCCTGGAGACCTCAGGCAGTGTGGTGATGGCGGGCAGCAGACTTTGTGTTTCCCCGGAGAGAGGCAAAGACAACCAGCTGTGGAATATCACCCCGGATGGCCTGGTGCACTCTCACCTCAAACCTGAGCTGGTCCTGGAGGTCAAAGGTCAGATATATTTGTCTTAACTTCAAACACATCTTTGTTGAGGACTAACTGCTATGATTGAGATAAGGTGGAAATCCAACAGCTCCATCTCCTGGTGGATTCAGAACCTGCAGAGATGAAAAATTTGTTTGGTTGCGCAACTGCACTCACACTTTTGTCTTTAGTTAAATAGTTGCTCCTTTTACCACATGTTGTCCTGAATGTTAAAAAATTGGGTTTCATTATTTTGATTCCGTAATGACAAGTTAAACTCTGTCAACTATCAAAACGGTTTTATAGTGTAAAAACACTGACTTGTATTTTATTGTCTTTGCTACCTAGGAGGTCATCATTATGACAAGAACCAGGTGATCCTCAACACATTTGAAGAGACAAAATTGGACCAAAGGTGGACCTTGGAGATCCTGTGATCAGATGACCAGCTCTCCTGTGGCCCTCACAGCTTTCTACTGCAGAAACAGACACTGCAGTCTTTTGTAGTATTTTAATTCTTGTTGAGGAGAGTAACCAAATACTGGATCAATGTAATAACTATAAAAACAAATTTCAGAATGAGTGAGTAAAAACATGGCTTTTTTTAGCCATTTGATTTCTCACACTGTATATCAAAGACTCTATGCCCTCTCTGTTTTCACTGCGTGAAAACTCAGCCCTGTTTCGATGCTGCATACTTTAATATGGTACTTCTTCATGCATCATTCGATTATAATGTCGGCAAATTGAATGTATTCTGTACATTGACAGCTGCAATATGAAGTCTGATGTGTCTACACTCCAAAGATCTATGTAGAGTAAGAGGTTTTCTTTTTGTAATTTCTGTAGATCAACACTGATCTAATATAAAGTGATATCTTTTTAGGATTTTACAGGTTTACATTTTTACACAAACTATACTTTACTACATTAGATTGTACATAAGAATCATGTGTATACATTTTAAATTTCAAAGCAGAACTGAAATAACAACTCTGCCCACTGTTGATTGTAAATATGTGAATGTAAAAGAGAAAACTGTTACACATGAAAATAAGAATGTGATTTTCTTTCTTGTGTCTTTTTTAGAAAATAAATAACACTGTTTTTATTCATAGTTTCATTGCCATGAAATTCAGACAGTTTCTTTAAAGTAATTAGGAGACTTTCATGGATTTGGGGTGGAGTCGCTTTCACCAAAGCAACCTATTTGTGGCACAAACCATTTTGTATGATCCATTGGTGCTTAGAGTTTTGGCACAAAATTACTCCCCACAGTCAAAACATAAAAAAAAAACCCACACAACAAGGGACAAAATAACATGAATGTACAGTATAATACACTTAACGGCACCACATACGGTTGCCTTATGTCCCAGTTTAACTTAGGGGGCTTTCACACCTCGTTTGTTCCGGACTCTCTGACTTTTCAGTTTGCTCCAAACCAAAAATACAGGTGTGAAACCTCCCCCGGACGAAATTTGGTCCGACGAAAAGAGGTAGTCTCGGTCCGGATCAAACTGAACCATGGTTCGGCTCGTTTCTGGTGTGAAAGAATTTTTTGGATGGTTTGGAGTTTCAGACTATTTACAGGACGTTTGGCGGTTGAGGTGTAAACCGGAAACAAACAAATGCACGGAGAAATGCATTGAAATAAGGACACAATTATAAATCTCCCGTGACAGCTAATCTTTTCAAACAGACTGTCGCTTTAGAAGCACACTGCCACAAACATCTTTGGTTTCTCCTCAAATGGAGCTGCAGAAGGATCGTTTGCTGTCTTCTCCTCCTTTCCTGTCAGCGATGTTCTAATGTTTGCACAACGAGGACATTGAACTAGCCTTCCTTGGTGTTGCAGGTAGTAATGCCATAATAATAATATCAGAATCAGAATCAGAAATACTTTATGGATCCCCGAGGGGAAATTCTTTTGTCACAGTTGCACTTGTCAAAGGTAGATAGATAAAGAGTATATAAATATAATAGTATAAAAATAAAAAATAAAGACAAATATAAAGGTGTGTGGGTATGTACAATATTTACATTATTAAGAGTTATTATGGTGAACCAAAAAGGACAAGTGAATAAATAGCAGCAGAGAATATTGCACATTAATTATTAAACAGGTAATATTGGACAGAAAATTGATAATGAGGTCTAGTTTAATAACTGACTAATTGTCAGACACTTAAAGGGAGGAGTTATAAAGTTTGATGTCCACAGGCAGGAATGACTTCCTGCCTCCACAGTGACCCCTGGATGGAAACAGGGGTCACTGGTGCTATGGCTCTCCTTAGATCCACAACCAGCTCCTTAGTCTTTGTCACGTTGAGCTGTAGATGGTTCTGCTCACACAATGTGACAAAGTCCACCACCACTCTCTGTACTGTAGTCTCATCTCACTTGCTGATACATCCAACCACAGCAGAGTCATCAGAAAACTTCTGAAGATGGCAGGACTCTGTGTGGTAGTTGAAGTCTGTGGTGTAGATGGTGAAGAGGAAGGGAGAGAGGACCGTCCCCTGCGGGGCCCCGGTATTGCTGACCACGCTGTCTGACACACAGTGTTGCAGGTGCACATACTGAGGTTTGCCAGTCAGGTAGTCAACAATCCAGGACACGAGGGGGAATCCACCTGCCTTACTGTCAGCTTCTCACCCAGCAGGGCCGGCTGGATGGTGTTGGAAGCACTGGAGAAGTCAAAAAACATGACCCTCACAGTGCACGCCGGCTTGTCCAGGTGGGCATAGATGCGGTTGAGCAGGAAGATGATGGCGTCCTCAACTCCCAGTCGGGGCTGGTAGGCGAACTGTAGTGGGTCCAGAAAAGGTGTGACCATGGGCCGCAGCTGATCCAGAACCAGTTTCTCCATGGTCTTCATGATGTGGGAGGTCAGTACCACAGGTCTTTAGTCCTTGGAGTCACTGGGACAGGAACTTTGGCACATGAACGAGGCAAGATGTCTTCCACAGCACAGGGACCCTTTGGAGACTCAAGCTCAGGTTGAAGACACAGGTGAAGGACTCCACATAGCTGGGGGGTACAGGCTTTGAGCACCCCGGGACGCACACAGAGGTCACAGGTGGAGGAGGGGGAGAGGAGTCGTCGTCAGGCGTTACACACACAGACGCTGCTCTGCTGGAGTTTATGCTTCAGCTTCCTCCTGTACTTCTCCTTAGCCTCCCTGATCTTTACCTTCAGGTCCCCCTGAATGGCCCTCATCTCCTCCCTATTACCATCTCTGAAAGCCCTCCTCTTTGCATTCAGGATGTCCTTGATTACCCATGGGTTGTTGTTTGGGTAACAATGGACAGTCTTTGCTGTGACAGTGCAGTCCACACAGAAATTGATGTAATCTGAGATGCAGTCAGTAAGCCCATCTATGTCCTCTTCATGTGACTCACAGAGTGCATCCCAGTCTGTCACCTCAAAACATCCCTGAAGTGTCTCATAGGCCTCCTCTGACCATCTCCTCACTGTCCTTTTGGTCGCAGGCTGCCTTTTCACCAGAGGCACATAACAGGGATTGATATGAACCAGGTTGTGGTCGGACCTGCCCAGGAGGGGAGGGGGGAAGAGCTGTATGCATCCTTAACATTAGCATACAGCAGGTCCAGGGTCCCCTCCTCTCTAGTATGGCAGCTCACATACTGGGTGAAGTTAGTAAGTGGCAAATATGCATAGGTTTGTTTTTTATTCATTCATTCTTGTCAAAGATACCCGCTAAACTGTTTAATAAACCAATCAATGTCAAGTATAGAGAGAGACGCAGCCCACATAGATGATGACGACAGGACGCACGTCTGTCATGTAAAGTCCTTTAGTGCTGTCGCAGAATTGCAGTGTGAAACCAAACCAAAACTAACCGAATGTACCCAACAAAGGTTAAAAATCAAGGGCAACTGGACTTGGTTGAAGCTACTGGAAGACGTTTCGTCCCTCATCCAAAGAACTTCTTCAGTTCTGACTGACTGGCAGGGAAACTCAGCTATTTAACCTCAGTGGGGTCGTTATCCTGGGTCATCGATACCGCTGGTTCGTTAGTGTTCCTGGTTGCTGTGACGACAGTCGTTACAGTCGTTAGGACTACCGGTGGCCAAGACTGAACGACCATCGTTGGTATCTTCACCTGAGGCTGATTAAAAAAATTTTTATTATAACCTTCAGGAAAGTAGAATTTACTGTTGTATTATACTTTACATAGTCAGAAATGACTAATTGCTTAAATCATTAAATTTTATTAATATATTTAAACAAATGTAAAAAATGCAAACATTTTAAAGCATACAACAGCAGCTGGAATGCTTCCATGCTCACTGAACAATCAAAACCCACAAATGAGAAGCAATAACAGTAATAACCGTGTTCTTGTACTTTGAATACAGCTGTGGATACAATAAGCTAAGACTTCGCATTCAAATTATTTTTATTCAGTTTGTTTCATGACTGCGCAGAAAAATGCAGATAGTCCCAAAAACTCAGTGCATAGTCTCTAAGAGTAAGTGCTATAAGTCATCTCCCCCTTTGCTGATCTGGACCACAGTCTTTCCTCGAGCGTGCCCCTTTTCCACCTTCTCAAAGGCATGAGGAACCTGAGAAAAGCTGAAGGTCTCCTCCACCACTGGCCGGATCTGACAGAGAGCAAATAGAGAAAGGCTGAGTAGAGGTCAGACATGCCTTGTTTCTCAGCTATTATGGACTACAATATCAGTAAGGGAAGCAGCTTGTCACTTAATGCAATTTCCTTCAATGACAAAAATATTCTTACAGCATTTATAGTGTGTATGTGGTGAGTTTCCATCATGCCAAATTCTCCAAACTAAGCCAAGAGCGGGATCAAAAAAAATAGTAGTGTTGGGCAAGCTACTTGGAAAATGTAGTGAGCTAAGCTACTAGCTACTCTACATTAAATGAAGCTTCACTACACAGAAGCTACCCCCCAGCAAGCTAAGCTACAGCAACGTGGCAAAAGTAGCTTAGCTGCATCTAAGCTACTTTTAATTTTTTAAGATTTTATAGTTAGGACATACATACACACACACACACACACACACACGGCTTAGTTTACAGCTAACTTCATAGAAGAAAGACTATAAACCTGCTCCAAACTGTGAGTGTGCCAGAGAGAACTACATCAGACACACAGACTCTTCTTCTTAGTGTCATATCATTGCAGCTCAATTATTTCCTCATGCAACAAACAGAGAACCATTGTTGTTTGTATAAAGTAACTTAATTATCATATTTATTATATTTTTATTGTTTATATGTGAATTTGTGCTCTGGAAACATTGCAATCTAAACAACCTAAACATTCATGGCAATGGATGAGAGAGAGAGAGAGAGAGAGAGAGAGCGAGATCTCACATCTCATGGAAACAAGCTTCTGCCACTACATATGAAAGTTTCCTTGATCCGTCCAAGAGCTTAGTTACTGAAAAGCTATTTGATTCAGAAAATAGCGACGCTACCACCAAGCTACTGAGAAATGTAGTTAAACTAGTAACGGCGCAACTTGTAGCGACACTACTGCAAACCAAAGAATCAGATTTCAAATGTAGCTTCTTCCCACCAGCTTTTTCTTCTAGATGCTATCCATGTTTGTGTAGGAGCACGCTCAAGTGAAAAATATAATAAGAGAGGGGTGTTATCTGCATAGAGAGTGAGATAACCAGCTGAATAGCATTTTATATCACAATGTAATTCTTATTGAGATGTTAAATGCATTAATGAAATCTACTGTACTGTATTTACCCATAGGCCTAGTGCTGTTGAGACTGGCATTAACGTCTAATAATCTCCATGCCAATGCTGAACATATGTAATGTGCACCAGGGTTTAAATTCGGATTTGTGAGGAAGGGAAGCTCTTGTCCAATGAGGTTGAGTATAGGTTAGTAGTTTCCACATTCCAAACCAGAAAAAAAAAAAAAAGTTTGTGATTTAATGCAATTGGATTTCTGGAGGCGGAGCTCCGCTCTGGTATTCTCCGGCCAAATTTAATCCCCGACGTGCACACAATGATGAAAAGAAAAAACTTCGGCACTCCCTGAACACTAAATGACTGAATTAATCTGGTACCATACCTTTCCTGCATCCACCATTTCCCTTATTTCATCCAATGCAGGACCACTAGGTGCAAGGAATGCCCAGCGGTAGTGGACTCCTTTTACTAGGTGCTACAAGAAAACAGAATGAGAGAAAAGCCATTAAGACGTGTATAATCACAACTTGAGCGCATAGCAGAAACTTTACGGTTGATAATATTCACTTAACAGTGCAAAATTGTAGGGTGTCAGCTGTAAGAAAGCTAGAAGACAAGGCATGTTGAAGTAAGCACTTTACTGCTGAACATCTAAAATACACTTATCAAAAACGTTCAAGGTTCATTTGTCATTTTACAACACAAGTTTGCACAATGAAATGAAAGTTGTTAAAAGTTCACTCTACACACAGAAGATATACAGATATTTAAGATTAAAATAAAAACAATTCATACATACATCTCAAAAAAAATAAAGGGAACACTAAAATAACACACTCAAAATCAAACCACACTACAGGCCGATCCAACTTTGACGTAATGTCCTTAAAACTAGTAAAAATGAGGCTCAGTAGTGTGTGTGGCCTCCACATGCCTGTATGACCTCCCTACAATGCCTGGGCATGCTCCTGATGAGGTGGCGGATGGTCTCCTGAGGGATCTCCTCCCAGACCTGGACTAAAGCATCCGCCAACTCCTGGACAGTCTGTGGTGCAACGTGGCGTTGGTGGATGGAGCGAGACATGATGTCCCAGATGTCCTCAATTGGATTCAGGTCCGGGGAACGGGCGGGCCGGTCCATAGCATCAATGCCTTCCTCTTGCAGGAACTGCTGACGCACTCCAGCCACATGAGGTCTAGCATTGTCTTGCATTAGGAGCAACCCAGGGCCAACCGCACCAGCATATTGTCTCACAAGGGGTCTGAGGATCTTATCTCGGTACCTAATGGCAGTCAGGCTACCTCTGGCGAGCACATGAAGGGCATGAAGATTTGCCAATCTTGGTGTTCTCTGGCAAATGCCAAACGTCCTGCACGGTGTTGGGCTGTAAGCACAACCCCCACCTGTGGACGTCGGGCCCTCATACCACCCTCACGGAGTCTGTTTCTGACCGTTTGAGCAGACACATGCACATTTGTGGCCTGCTGGAGGTCATTTTGCAGGGCTCTGGCAGTGCTCCTCCTGCTCCTCCTTGCACAAAGGCGGAGGTAGCGGTCCTGCTGCTGGGTTGTTGCCCTCCTACGGCCTCCTCCACGTCTCCCGATGTACTGGCCTGTCTCCTGGTAGCGCCTCCATGCTCTGGACTCTACGCTGACAGACACAGCAAACCTTCTTGCCACAGCTCGCACTGATGTGCCATCCTGGATGAGCTGCACTACCTGAGCCACTTGTGTGGGTTGTAGACTCCGTCTCATGCTACCACTAGAGTGAAAGCACCGCCAGCATTCAAAAGTGACCAAAACATCAGCCAGGAAGCATAGGAACTGAGAAGTGGTCTGTGGTCACCACCTGCAGAACCACTCCTTTATTGGGGGTGTCTTGCTAATTGCCTATAATTTCCACCTGTTGTCTATTCCATTTGCACAACAGCATGTGAAATTGATTGTCAATCAGTGTTGCTTCCTAAGTGGACAGTTTGATTTCACAGGAGTGTGATTGACTTGGAGTGACATTGTGTTGTTTAAGTGTTCCCTTTATTTTTTTGAGCAGTGTATATATATATATATTTAAATAGTGGTATGGTAATGTGTAAACCAGTACAACAGAAAGTTCAGAATGTCATTTATTTATGGTGGAGTGTGGAGGATGAGGTGGAGTCTCTCAGCCTGAGGAAAGAAGCTTGCCTGGTCTGCAGTTTTAATCACCCGTGCAGACGCTCCGGTCCTGGGGTCCTGGGCCATGCACATGCCAATATAGTTTGTGATGTTTCCAGTCTGGATGCTTTCTACTGCTCCCCTGTAAAAGTTAGCTGATGTTACTGATGTAGACGGTGGCGGTGTGTGTCTTCACTTCCTTTTGTCAACTATCACCATGGTTTTGCTGATGTTGAGCAAGGCTGGTGTCTGTGCACCACTCTGCAAAATTGTTGATTTCCTCTTGATATGAAGCCTCATCATTGTTTGAAATCTGGCCAGTCATGGTAATGTTATCCACTTGCTCTTTGGTGTTGTTGGTGTTGAGGTTTCTCCTTTTAGTCCCTGCTTATGTCTTGCTCTAGCGGTGCTGTATGCTTCCTTCCACCTGGCAGAGGTTTTGGTTGTGAGTTGAGCCAGGCTTTCTGGTTGGGGAGTGATTTTATTGTCTTTGTGATCACCACATCATCAACACATTTAAAAGAAGAAGAAGATATACTTTACTTAAAATGTTGAGATACTATTATTATCGTAACTTCCTCTTCTCACGACTTATTTCACTAGTTCCTTATTTCACAGCATTCTAACTGACTTTACAGTCTCAGTGCTGTCAGTTCCCGTCATGAAAAATAAACTAATAGTAATGACAGCTATAGGCCCATAGCCCTAGCTAGTGTACTTTTTATGTGTGAGAGAATTCTGATTCCCAGGTTAGAATTATTTGTCTTCATAAATGTTAATTCATCTTACTTTAAAGCAAGACTATGTAACATTTAAGCCAAACCATAGGAAATCTTTATCCCATATGACATTCCACCATGGTTAGCAAATGTATTTCTTAGATGTGTTTTAGGCTTTCAAACTTTCATAAAATGAGTGTCAGAGGAGTACCTACATCTCTGCTCAGAATTCCTGTGTATTTGTAGACAGACAATTTAAGTTAGATGGGGTTGTGCTGTATCTGAATTTTTCATGTCAGCAATGGAGGTTGGGTTTGTTTATTAGAGTCTCATGTGTGGGTAGGATTTCCTGCAACTCATGTTTTAAAAATGAGGACACTGTGACAACTAAGCCAGCTGTCGGCGCTCTAGTTTCCTTTTACTAACAGAGTGAACCAGGAGGTGTGAGACCTGGAGATATACAGTATTTTCTGCTTCCTGTCTATAAATAAAGTACATCCTTCTCGCGTTCTTTTGAGTAAGACAACCCCATTGGTTTAACACACAACTCTACATTTTCAAAAGAAAATGGCTAGTTTCTCTGGGGCGGTCCCGGCCTGTTGCAATTCGTTTCAAGTTGAGTGATTTAGGTTCAGCTTTACTGAGAGAAGTTAAGAGGAAGTCAGAAACAAAACTTCTTACAGGACTCTTATTTGTCCCTTATATTTTCTTATTGTCAACAAATACCACAAGATCAAAACCAAAAAGTGACAAGATTCTGGTAACAAGTAATGTCTGTTTAGCCAATCCCTGATACATTCATCCATGCCACAGTTAATTGTTGTCCAAAACTATCAACAAGACTGAGAGTATACAGCCATGCTAGCACCTCTATGAGGTTGTACTTAGATACAGTGCTACTTTCAGCCACTTTGAGGGAAACTCGGGGGACCCCAAAGGGATTAGGATAAATTGTCCGGGGACCATCATTTTCTGTACAGAATTTCCCAGGAAAAGTGAAAACTTTGACCTGCTGGTGGCTCTAGAAGAAAAGTCAGTGGGTTGACACTAATGTTCTGGGGACCAGCTGTTGAGATATTTGAATTTGGACAAAAGTGGTGGACCAACCAACATGCATTCCCATCTATTCAGCCATGTCCGTAGCACGGCTAAAAACACATCAGTGAGCCACAATGTTGTACTGGGTCACATCTTCCTCCATTACCAGGAACGTGCCCACTTTGTTTTGAACCAATCCAAGGTCTGTGAGTTGTAACTAATTACTAGTGCACTAAATTTTATTTAATCCCTAGCTGACAATAGTCCCCAACAAATCCACTATTTACTCATGTTTGAGCAACACTTATGAAATATGTATATAAAGTTGGCTGACGTGTATTTCTAACACATTATTAAAAAAACTTACATTTTAAGCCACAGACTGGCTAGAGAAGGCATAAAGCATGCTAACCGGCAGACTAACTGTTTTGGTCTTTCGAGAGAACTTGTTGACAATAAGATAAATACAAAATAATGCCAGCCATAAGCAACAAAAGATGATTATTTTACGTTAATAGCAAATTTTCAACAATATACACCAATGCTGAAACACAACTCTGACATATTATCACCTTAAAACTGTTATGGCAAACGTGCTAGCAAGCATTCGCATATACTCAAATCCAGCAGACATGATGGAGCAATATTAGCATTAATTTGGAGTTGTGTTGTTGGCCACATGATCAATGTTAACTCCATATTCTCTCTACTTCTATCTGGGTTTTGGTCTCAATCAAGTGACGAGAAAAATATCTGGTTCTTTAGCTGCAATGCCCCACTATGTTCACCTGCCAGATGCTAACTTTGTCTCTCTGCCGTTTAGTGGTGGGAAGGTAACTGGTTACATGCATTACCCCCAGTTCCCATTTGGTTGGCACAAGAAGGTGATCCAGACCTGGCACAACAGTAATGTCAGCTACATTACTTTCCTGCAGAGAGGAGTTTTGTATCTATTTAATTTAATTGATTCAGTCTCATAAAATACCCTAAAATATCAATCTGATTAATAATTAAATAAGTAAATATAAGCAAATGTTACATATCAATAGTTAGACGTTGAAGGGTTTTGAAGTTCTACATAAAAGAGATCGGCAGCATTCACTCTTGTGCAATCTAACTACAATGAACTAAAGAACAAAAGAAGTGGGCACGTGGGCGCGTGTTTCTTTGTTCTGCCTCCGTATGTCTTGTGTGCACAACCATGAACATGCGTGGTTAGAAATAAAGAAAGCATGTGTAGCGGGAGCTTTAAAGTTCCTCTCTGCTAGGTGCTGTGTGTAGGTCATACTCATCCTCCTCCGGTCGCAGTGGCTCTGAATGCTCTGAAAAGCCCGCCCAAACAGTCTGGCGGGTTTCAGTGCTTGGTGGAGAAATGTGTCTCGGGCAGCTCCGTGAACGTTTGCAGCAGATGACACTGGGCGACCACTGACGCATTGAGGAGTAGCTCATCATCAGACACCAAGTCAAGCAATTGTATAGAGACAGAGAAGTCAACTGGGTCCTCCTCCATGCCCACGCAGTCAGCGGGAGAGAGAATATGATGCATCTGTTCCCTCCATGACGTGCCCCTCATAGTGTCCACTTTTGAGTTCCACATCCATGGAGGACTTGACGGCTCCAGTGGCTGAGCTTTCAGCACCTTCAACAGGAACACCACATGTCTCTCCAGGGTTGTCTTTCGCTGTCAGCAACAGCACACACAGGTCTGTGGGTTAGCAAACGCAACTTTCACATGCAACATGCCAAGACACACCCGGCAAGCATTGCGTGCGTCCGTCTCGAAGACAGAAACCCACAAGCACTCGGGTATAACATGGCCCTTCTCTGTTTTTCCGAGGATGCACTCCCCAATACTGATGTGTTATACCAAGGTTACTAATGGTCGCTATCAACGCTTGTTTCTCCTGCCTGTGACTCGTTGGCCTCCTATTGAGAGAGGTTCTTTAGGTTGGTCTCATGAGGATGCAGTCACCCCTACTGAGGTGTTGTACTGAGTGTACAGAAAGGTAAGAGGTAGAAACAGGGTAGATGACAGTGGAGTTTCAGGCTAAAAAACTAAAACAATGACCTTAAAGAGGCAAAAAGAGCAAAAGCAGCCAAAGAGTCGGGTGATATTGTCACAAGTGAAACCTTTCACATTACACTAATTGATTTTAACCAGTTTTAATATAAAAGACTGATTAGAGAAGCTTTAAAAAATAATTAATCCCGACTCTTGAAAGACTAAAAACATTTTTAAATAGGTGTAACTAGAAAGAACTTTTCCTATAGAATTTATGCATATTTTACACAGTAATACCTATATTTCTCCTCTAGGTAATCCATGTAAAACTTAATCCTCAGTTACACCAACTATTAAAAAAGGGAACACAAACGTTGGCTTTAGAAGTAACCACTCATTGAACCAAGAAGGCGGCAGAGGTGTTACTGTTTGGTGTGACTGCCATGCTGACATGGAGACATCTATCTTTTTGTACTAGCAAAAATACTTTGTGGTTAAGTCTTAGTGGAAAGAGGCGGGAGATGGTTTTGAACAGATGTGACACACATACACACACACCACAAATGCACTGCATGCAAGCTTTGCATGGTGCTTACCACAGGAGACAAGATGCCACATATACTGAATCCACTATGCTCCAGGACTGTACATGTGTGTGTTGGCGGGGTATCGTTATATTCTACATTTCTCCTGACTAAACTGTACTGCACATGTATTAATGAATTTGGAACTCAGGAAAGATGGTTTAACCACAGTAACACTGGTGACTGAAATTGACTAAGAAATAGTTTATTTATACAAGGTAGATTTATTTGTCACATTTCAGTCCAAAGGCGAGATTGAGTTTGTAACTCCCTTCTGCTACGTAGCAAGAAGACAAGAAACTATAATCAATGAAGCAGTCCTGAGGATGAATTTGAGTTAAAGAGTCTGATAGCTCGGGGGGAAAAGCTGCTCTGCAGGTGGTGCAGCAGCAGAAACTCCTGTCTCTCTTCTCAGAAGGCAGCAGTTTGTGATGTTTCCTGTCAGGATGCTTTCTGTTGCTCCTCTGTAAAAGCTGACAAGAACGTGGTGTGGCTTCCTCAAGAAATACAATGTTTTTTCAGTTTTCTTCACCAGCGTGGAGATGTGAGACGCCCATGTCAGGTTCACTGTGATGCTGATTCCCAGGAACCTGATACTGTTCACCTGCTCCACCTCATCTCCACTGATGTAGACAGGAGTGTGTGTCTTTATCTCCTTTTTCCTGAAATCAACGATCAGCTCCTTGGTTTTGCTGACGTTGAGCAGTAGGTTGTTCACTGAGCACTCTGCAAGATTATCAGTTTAATATCAACATGGCAGCGTGAACAGGAGGGGGCTGAGCACTAGAGTGGAGGAGGTGTGTCCACCTATCCGAACTGTCTGGTGTCTGTGAGGATGTCCAATATCCAAGAGTGTTGTATTTAAACCCAGAGTGCTGAGTTTGCTGATCAGTTTCATTGTGTTGAATGCTGAGCTGAAATCCACAGACAGCATTCTGATGTAGGTGTGTGAGGGCTGAGCGGAGGGCAGTGGAGATGGCATCTTCTGTGGATCTGTTGGTTCTGAAAGCAAACTGGTGAGGGTCCAGGCTGGCTGGGATGTTGTTCTTTATGTGCTGAAGAACCAGTTTCTCAAAGCACTTCATCAGAACGGGGGTGAGAGCCACAGGGCGGTTGTCGTTCAGACTAGACACTGCAGACTTTTTAGCTACAGGAACTATGGTGGCTGTCTTGAAGCAGATAGGAACCCTCTCCTCTGATAGTGAGATGTTGAAAACGTCTGGGTGGCAGCCTCTCTGAACACATTTTATAATTATAATAGTAATAATATGAATAAACTTTATTTATTTATTTTTCTTAACAATGGTACAAAGAGCTTCCCAAAAAGATTTAGTTTGTTGTGTTCTGTGAATGCATCTAGATCCATAGCGCCTATCAGCTGTTAATCATGTCTCAAATGGCTTTTCACGGTGTATTTATTTATTTGTTGAGTACTGAGAATGCTTGTTTGTTGTCTGTACACACTAAGGCTGCACTACTTCAGACTGCAGGCCAAAGTGACCCAAATCTGATTTTTTTTGCTAATATGTGACTCTGAGCTGATTTTTTTTAATGACAGTGTGAACAACCCAAGTCACAAGGAAACAGATCAGTTTTTATTGGATGCGACCTCAGTCCACATTGGAATTGATGCGACTTTGACGTCCCCTGACAAACGGACCCGCGATGAACGAAAAAGCTCCACAAAAGCCAGTTTTATATATGTGGCTCTCTTCCTCCTCTACTTTGCATTAATCTGCTCACAAATTCCCTTTCTAACACCTGAAATCCACCGGCTCACAAGCTCTCTTCTGAGTTATGTGCATGCTACTTATCCAAGCAGACGCAGTAGAGTGAGAGAGAGGCATTGAACAGCGGCAGTAACAGTAACAAATGTTATGGAAAGGACAAAAAGTTGTGAACATTTTTCATAATTCAGGAGAGATGCGATCCAGGGAGTAAACCGGGAGAGGGCAATGAAATACGGGAGTCTTCCATGAAAATCGGGAGGGTTAGCAAGTAGGAGCTAACCGGAGCTAACCTCTGTGGCTCCTTCGACAGCGTGCTGTGTGTGACGTCGTTTTAATGTTCTGCACATGCAGGACACTTTCAGGCCACAGCCAGTTCGCACTGGAGTCTGATATGGGCCACATTTAAACAACAATGTGAACTGTCAAGCAAAAAAATTGGATCTGGGAAATAAATTGAGTTTGAGCATTAAGGCCTGCAGTGTGAATGTAGCCTATATTTGCACCTAAAAAGCAAACTGCATGAGGCCGTTTAAGATACATGCAGTGGCTGTGGGTACTCAAAACGTGACTTCACACAAGCAGCCTTTACTATGAATCTGAAGGCATTTTGCAAGTAAAAAGATTATTTCTCAGAAGGGAGCTGATAGCACAATATATATCAGTTACACCAATTGAATTGCCCAAGACATTGTACATATATTAATGCTTATCATGTCAACAAGAGTTTAAAATAATGTCAAGGGTTTGCTAAACCAGTGGTTCTCAAACTTTTTCACGTCAAGGACCCCTAAACTGACACAAATTAGACCACAGACCCCCACTTGATAAGATTAGGTCCCAGGATCTGATAGGATTTAAGCATTTAGATGTTTTATTCCAGAAAGTGTATGAAATCCATGACCAAAAGAGTCATGTGTTCAGTCACTATGTTACTTATGGATGAAATTATGGTGAAAATAAATTATTCCCCTTTCTGCTGGGGGCCCCCCAGGAACCCCCTCAAGGACCCCACTTTGGGAACAACTGTGCTAAACAATGGTTCTTGTAGTGCTTCTTAGTGGATTTGTTTGGTGTGCAGCTGTTTTCACCTTGTTAGCGGAGTTGGCCTCACCCAGCTGTGTTCCTCCTACACAGCTGTTTCTGTTTCAGTTAATGATTGTGCTTCAACCTACATACTGAATAGGTAATCATTAGTACCCTTTTGCTGTAGTTGTTTAATCATATACCTGACAATATACCTACAAAATTCCTGACTCTGAGCAAGTGTACCTAGAGGAATTGATGCTGTTTGAAGGAGTGGTCACACCAAATATTGATTGAGCTTTTTCTACTGTTCACTCACTTTGTTTGTATTTTGTTAATTGATAAATATAATCTATTAACATACTAGACAGCATTTTCCCATACACTAAAACTTTTCCACAGTACTGTATGTTATTAAAACTTTCGGTCCACCAGGAACTAAGGAAAAATCCCTGACACTTTGAAACAGCCTTCCCTATTCCATCGGAACCACTGAATCTATGGTTTAAATGGGTGCTGAAAACTAATTTGTGTTTATTAGCCTTATTATAAACACTGTGTTTGCATTTGTTTTGTTTGTTTTGTCTGTGTATCATGTGTCTGTATGTGTATTTTATATTTTTATGTGCTTGCACTTTGTAACTGTGTGTATTAAAAACTTATAAATCAATAAATCAACAATAAATCTCTGTTGAATTATTTAATAATACTCTATTTCTCTATATACTATTTCTCACTACACTTACTAGCAGCAACATATATTGTAAAATTCAAGCACCCTTTCATAATGCACAACATGATAAACACATTGCATTTGGATCAATTCAGGAAAAGGGGAACAACCAGTGTGGTAAAGATCCATTCATCAATAAATATGTAATTAACCAAACTGCATCCATGTTATTCTACCATGATTACCTTGAGGGCCTTAGTGGCAAGTGTTGCGGCAGTCTGCATCATGCCATCAGCAATGCCCAGCCTGTCAGTGTTCTGGATGAACGGTGTTACAAGAGTGATATATTTGGCACCACCCCAAGGCTTTAGCAGATTCAGCGCCCAGCGCTCTGTGTCCCCACCAACGTTATCCAGGATCAGGTCAAATCTTGTGGCAAAAAACAAGAGACACAAGCAAAGATACTTACGTATGTGGCGAGTGGGCATAAAAAACAAAGTAAATGAAAGACAGGAATTATTGGTGTGGAAAGACAAGGATGAGTGGACAGACAGCGGAAATGGAGAGAGACATTAAGTAATCTAGAACATTTAACTGCTCAGTTTTCCCACATTAATGAGCTGTCTGCATCTCAAGGCAGGAGGTGGAGGTAGAGCATTTCATCCATCCATCCATCACCAACCGCTTATCCTGCGTACAGGGTCGCAGGGAGGTAGAGCATTTCAAACTCTATATTTTAATTTTTTTTAAATCCTTCAATCCTTTCACCTCATTTATCCTATAGTAGCCTTTATGCAGCCCCTGAATTCATCCCATCTGAAACAAGCCGTTACAACAACAAGTCTGACTGCTACTGACTGGCCAACTTCTCAGAAGGCCACCACAGGGCTGTGATAGAAATAGCTCAGCCTGTCATAAGCAGAAGTCATGTTGTAATCAGCAGGTCACACAAATACAATCTAAAGAGAAACCAGTCTGTTTCTCACTTCTAGATGTGAGATTGTCTAGGTGATAGACCACAGAGTTCAGCCTCATCATGGCAGCTGCGTCAGCCAAACAGCCAGAGACAGATTTTAACTTACTGCTCTGGAGAGTCACAGGCTGTAGACCTTTGGCTTTGGCTCTGCAAATGACCTTAAGATGATATTACCCTTGAAGGAGTAAAATTCCTTCAAAGAGGGGCTTGGATGATATTTTATGGACAAATAGCTTTTTGTCCATGGGACATAAAGAACTATACAGAACTTTGATTTGTGCAAAATCAGGTACTGCATATACGTATTTTGCATTCCAACTTAAAGATTCAGTGTGTAAGTTTTAATGGGATCTAGAGTTGCCAACTGCAACTAGTGTCTCATGGTGCATTCACATGATCCTCTGATGGTCCCATTTCCCGAGTTGTGAAGTCGTTCTTCCAACTTCAGTGTGTGTTCATGTGCTCTTAAGCTGAATGTGGAATCAACATGGATGCAACTACAAAGATGTAGGAGAGGCCGTTTGGGTGAAAACATTTAAAAAACACGCACGCACACTGACAATGTGCGCACACTCACTGAAAACACTGAAATACTGGCACATGTATGGCTCGTATGTATTTATTTTACCAGGAAAGAAATCCATTGACAAACAAGGCATTACATGTACAGCAACATTATTCATAAAAGTAACAGTATTATTCAATTATATACAACAAAGTATCAGATAAAAAAGACATAAAAGCACAATGAAATTTAAACATATCATAATTTGACTAAATGTCACAGGTGCAAGATGTGTTTAAAGCTGTTTTTGTTTAAAACTGGATACAGGAATAAGAGACTCCAACTTCAACTTGAGCTGCAGATCATTCCAAGACCATGGGCCAAAATAGGACAGACTCATTTTTCCTGACTCTGTACTTCAATGAGCGCACATGCACTGAAACCAGGCACGGACACACTGAAAATGTGCGCACAAACATTAAAAAAAGGGCACACACCACCCACTGTGCACGCAAAGTACACATTCACACCACACAAACTTCACACATAGTAGGATACAGGCTACTTATGTGTGTGTGTGTGTGTGTGTGTATCTGTGTGTGCGTGTGAAGTAATTTCAGTGCGCCCGGAAGTTGTTTCATTGTTACAGGAAGTCACTGATGTTGTTGTTTTAGACCCACATTTAACTGATAGGTACATTCTGTATCCTTTCGCAGAGGCAATTTCATAGTCTATGAAGTTCTCCTGAGACGTGATTATTGCTGGTTGAAAACTTAACCCAATACTCCGCCTGGATGACTTGAAATATAGTCAGCTGTGGCAATTTTTGTTAGTCTCTGAGGAGGCTTTGCGCTTTGTTTTAATGCTAAAACCCAAATCATTAAAAAAATGAGTAGTTGTTCACAAATACAAAGCCTTTCAACTTGTCTTTCAATTCTCTTGCTGAAATAAAACTCATCCAAGTTCGGGCTAAATTTCACTCAGCTCTAATTCGGACCTTGCTAATAATAAGTCATCCATAGAGTCCAGGGTATGCTGGTCAAGCCATGACTACCATTTCATGTTTAAAAAAAGGCGGGGTTTGCAGTTCATAAGCCACATCTGTGCAATAACAGTCCAGTAAGGGTTATCACTTGCACCGCGGGTGTTGTGGTTGTTGTTTCAGATCCACATTTAACTGATAGGTACATTCTGTATCCTTTCGCAGAGGCAATTTCATAGTCTATGAAGTTCTCCTGAGACGTGATTATTGCTGGTTGAAAACTTAACCCAATACCCCGCCTGGATGACTTGAAATATAGTCAGCTGTGGCAATTTTTGTTAGTCTCTGAGGAGGCTTTGCGCTTTGTTTTAATGCTAAAACCCAAATCATTAAAAAAATGAGTAGTTGTTCACAAATACAAAGCCTTTCAACTTGTCTTTCAATTCTCTTGCTGAAATAAAACTCATCCAAGTTCGGGCTAAATTTCACTCAGCTCTAATTCGGACCTTGCTAATAATAAGTCATCCATAGAGTCCAGGGTATGCTGGTCAAGCCATGACTACAATTTCAGGTTTTAAAAAAAGGCGGGGTTTGCAGTTCATAAGCCACAAACTGATAGGTACATTCTGTATTGTGTGTGCGTGTGCTTGGTGTGTTGTTGGTGCATGTATGATCATTTTCAGTGTGTATGTGCACATTGTCAATGTGAATGTGCCAGTATTTCCATGTTTTCAGTGCGTGTGCGTTTGTTTTTCAATGTTTTCACCCTAAATGGCCTCTCATAAAGATGTGTTGGATTAACATTATCAGAGCATATAAACACCACACAGACATCTAGTTCACTCTATATGAAGAGCAAACTAACCGTTATATTACAAATAACATGTTTGCAAAATATGTATACAATAAGTTCACAAATCAAAGTTCTGTATACTTCTTTATGTCCCATGTACACTTTATTTGACTTTTTGTACTAAAGGAAAAAAAGATTTTTATTATTCCGACACCACATGAATGCACCGCTCACAACTCGGAAGATAGGACCATCCGAGGAGCATGTGAATGCACCGTGAACGACTGGTCACAATTCGCAACTCTCACCACTAGATGCCACAAAAACTTACACACTGAACCTTTAAAGTAACCACAAACTGCTGCTAACTATAACATTAGCTGCAGCCCTATTAGCTTAGGTGACTCTGCCCTGACTGGGGGCTTGGGCACCGGGGGAGTGTTGAAGTTTACACCGCTAGCACAGGAGATTTGGACTACCGGGAGGAGGAGGTTTTCAGACCTGGGCTCCGAGTTCCCAATCCGGGCAGAGTCATCTAGGTGTAGGGCTAGGTGCACGGCTAACTGGCTAACATGCTATGGCAGCTACTGTTAGCAGTAGTTGGCGGTTACTTTAGAAACAAAGCCATCTGTCCATCAAGAAACTAACTAAAAAAGCGCTTTCTGCAAGACATTTTGAACAACCTGTCTCTTGCCGGATAAAGCACAATGAGCGGAGCGGTCGAATACTGAAACAGACTGACCCTGTACTTGGTTGGCATGCTGTGCTTGGAGCAGTTCATGAACAGCTAACCATATAAGGACATTCCTGTCTAGCTGACGTCAGCTAGGCATCAAAGTAGAAAAAACTTTGGAGACCTAGTATTCAAAGCAATCTCAAGCCTGAGCTTTTTGTCTACAGGGATTACTTTTTACATACGTTTACCTCATAACTTGAAACGTTGACCACGTTAAGTATAAACATCCAACATTGTAAGGTTAGATATATGACAGAAATATCGGAACAGCATTATAGGTCCATTTAAAATACCAACATTAATAACAAATGACTGTAGATGTGCGTGTGTGGGGTTCTCTCACTTCTCCAGTGCACTGAGCGGTTCCTCAACAGGCCCAGCAGTGTAGTCCACCACGTGGTCTGCACCCAGGCCCCTTACAAACTGCTCTGCATTCTGGGAGCAGGTAACAGTCACATGGGCTCCCCAAGCCTTCAGCATCTGGACACAAACGATAGTATAATTTCCATCTTTAAATCTGATCACATGAATCCAGGCAGAAGTGTACTCAAATTTGAAAGTAATTTGTCTCATTTATGTTGTAAATAAAAAAGAAATGCATGTTTGGATTATTGTGGGGAGCAGAATGTTACAAGAGAATGTTTAATTAATGAGATCAAGTGTGAGGTCTGTGTAATGTGAGCTACAGCATTCAACAAAAGAGGTGATCAAAAAGGCCACACAGACTTTCGGTCTTCGCCGCTGTTTATTACAGGATCAGCGTTCTTGTTAATTTTTACACTGCTGTCACAGATGGTGATGAGTATATTCATTTTTAGAATTAGAGCAAGGTGTTTGTAGACCGATGCACCTAATAATGTTACCTAACAAGTAAAAGTGTAAAATATGCAGCTTGGCTATCATCATCCTCCACTTCATCTATACCTGTATAGCAAATGTTCCCACTCCTCCGGATCCTCCAAGGATCAAAATCCTGTGAGGAAGAGGAAAAGCAGACATGTACAATGAATGTGTCATTAATGTTTTCTACACTATTGTAGCTCACTCGCTCCCTCATTAGGATTAATGTCAAATGCATTCTGGGCTTTAGCTTGTCAAGTTCACCGCAGAGCAAGGGAGCGTGGGAGTTGCTGCCAGAGAACCAGAGGCCAGCACCCAGAGGCTCATTAGGAAGCGGGCTAACCGGGGCTAATCTTAGAAGGAACACAGAGTGGAAAAATTGGCTCGATAAAAGACAGGGAGCTTTCTTGGGGTTTGACAGAGATTAACAAGTGTGTGTGCGCAGAGGTGTGGCTGTGTTTGTCCACGATCCCTCACCGCTTCTTATCACAGTTGTCCTTACTGAGCCCACCGGTGTTGACCAGCGCCGACCAGGCACTGGTTGCCACGTAGGGAATGGCTGCTGCCTGTATGTGGCTGAGTGACTTTGGTTTGTGGGATACCTGAGAACAAAACACATTAATAATGATAGCAGTTACAAAAGCAGCACCGCCTCAACATTCTCTGAGCAGTACACCTGCTGAATCTTTATGGAAAAGCATCCGAATGCCAGCTCAGCTGTGCCAAATTTAGCTGATCTTCTCATTATTATTTACTTGGTTTTTCATTGCATGCTCCTGGAATAAGCAGCAAGACGTAGGCTTCCTTTTAATTTCAGAAGGGGGAAAAAAATTAAAATACTGCTGTTGAAACTGATCAGTTACGTCACTGAAACAAACCATCATCAACTAAGAGGAAACTAATTTACACAGAAGTGATACTGATGAAATCATAACACTACCAGAGAAGCACATTTCCTGCGGAACTAATTCAGCTATGGACTACATTGTAGCTCAAAGCAACAATGTAGTCCATCAGACGAACAATACCTCATTGGCACTTAGAACGACAAACTCAGCCAAGCTGCCCTGCTTCCATGGAGGGATAGCTGCCCACACCTGAGGGAGACACACAATAACACGGCACTCATTAACCACAGACATAAACATGTCTACATTTCTATACAGAAACTTTGTTTCGCACGATGACATTATGTTAATTATTGCTTCTCAAAAGAAGCACATTTGCAGCATCACACAATGAGTCACTCTCTATTTTAGTACTACCTGAAGTAGTCAACAAATGTGTGGTGACAAAAACAAAGAATATGACTTCATGAAGTGGTAAAACAGCCTAATTTAAACTGCAGTTAGCCTTTACACATGTAGACATCAAGATCATTAATCATTGTAAGGTCATTAAAATTAAGGTCTTTATTTTTATTATTTTTTATTTTATCATTATTTAAATCATATCTGAAATTAAAACTAAGTGTTAAACACAAGGTTGTAAACTGAAATAAAAATCTAAATACAAGTAAATGTTTTTGTTTGTGTTCGGTAACTATAAAGGAATTGTGATTTGACGGAGGACAGTTGCAGAACTGAAAAAGAAAGAACTGAAACTCATTCAAGATGGAAGTAAGAAAGTTCATAAGGTTGCTTTTAGTCCTGCACCTCACACTGCATGTCATTATAAATGAATCAGCTATATATTTTCTCAATTAATCAAACAATCGTTTTGATCCATACAATACTAGTAACAACAGTGAAAAACACCCATCACAATTTCCAACACCCAAGTTGATGTTTTCTATTACACATTACATGTTTTCCTTTCTGAGGTGTGAAAAAGACTTGAGTCATATTTGTAAGCAAGGCTGAGATGACGCATCTAGTGCATAATCTTGGTAGAAGGATCATTGTGGGTGTGGCCAGGAACGGATGAACTACAGGACATCCACAGTTCTCAGATACACTGTGGTGATAATACTCAGTTACTATTATTGTTCTTGTCAAACACTGACTCAGCCATCAACATGTGAGATCAGAAATCAGCATTCATTAGCACAGGTTATGTGTTTTCTCTGATGTTTTTATTTACCCTTCTGACTACAGACTGTTGCACTGATACTTCATTCATACATGACTCACTGTGTGCAGGAACAAGTTGTTTCAGTAAACAGGTGTGCCACCTGTATGTATAATGGAGAGGTACAAGCACACATCTCGCCCATCTGCCTTGTTTACCTCATCCCTTTCTCTGAAATACTTCACATCCAGGCCGCACTCCATGATGACCCCAGACACGTCCCTTCCCAGGATCAGAGGGAACTCGTTGCCTGACTGCTTGATATTCAGAGGGTCTCTCTTCATAGACAGCGTTGCAGCACCATAGCCACCTGACGGGAAGAGAGTTTCTGATTACAGCCAAACATGAGAGAATAATTAAAAGCTACAGGAGATAAAGACTAACCAAGAAAGAAAGAAAGGACCCAAAGTAATTCTCCAGTTGTTTTAAGAGTATACAGTGGTGGCTCTGAAATCAGTTTCAAACCCTTCAAAAATATTAATGTCACAAAGATAGGCCGAAGGTTGAGTCACCACTCTACCCAGTAGTTTTGAGAAGAATGGCTGATTAGACACTGGTTTATACAGTACAATCTGGATTAAGGTACATGGCAGTCTTAAAACTAGTAGTAAGAAAATATATTAACCATATTCAGCTTTGTGGGTCACAGAATAATATTTAGTTATTAGTTTGTCTGGTCAGGGGTTGAGGAGACAGGTAGTGTGAGAACAGGTATTATCTAGAGCTCGTTGTGTGAATTTAACAAAATAGGGTCTGTAGGGTAAACTGAGGATCACAACCTTAACTTCCATCTAATATCATCTATTCTTCTGCAAAAAAAAGAAAATTAAATAAGTAATTGGGTGAGAATGGAGTGGAAGGTTTTATTGTTACGGATTGCGCAAAAGAAAAATGTTGCTTTGGCAGCAAAGACAGCACGCTTATATCTAAAAAGACATTGGTGCCAGTGCCACATGGGGTCCTTCCAATTTTTTCTTCAGTGCATGTGCTTTTGATAAATATGGTGTTGGCTTCATTAAGCACAAAACTGGATCACCAACAAAGGGGGCAATTGAGCCGGGGGTCCCAGACACCCAGGAGCCCCAAAAGCCTTCACAGCCTGTAACTAGTTTCACAGGGTAATTTGCCTTATTTTCAATAATTGAAAGAATAAGACTGAATCAAGGAGACTAGAAAGGGGCTTACCCTCCATTTTGCTTATTGTTACTTCACTTGGATGTTTGAGCTACACTGTGGACAATCAGAAGGCTGCTTTAACCATGCTTCTGCTGAAGCGGGAAAGTTTCTCTGTGCTCATCTTCAATCTCAGTTTAACATGCATGCAACAACATCACAACATGGAAATTTGGAAGCAAGTCATTGCTTGGTTCATTATGCAGCTTACGCAGTGGGATATGGAACCTGCAGAGGATTTTTACACAAGGTAAGTGAAGTATTTTGTGAATCATGAAAACAGGATGGAAGGGACCTCAAAACCGGGGCGGGGTTCTGCAGAAAATAAGATAAGCTTCACGTTGTCGTATTCGTGTTAGTCATCCCAATAAGACGACAAATATGCATGTAAGGACAGGGACAAAATAATGTTAAAATAACACCTACCCTTATGTGACAATCATTGCATTCCAACTACTGAAACGGAAATTTCCACAACCTCAAAAACTATCACTTCTTTGTGTGGGAAGACACAAAGCAGTGATGTTGTTTCACCACAGGAAACACCACTCTAACCGTCTCAAACTTCTCTGCCAGGCCTACCATCCTCTGTCGATTTTATAAATCTTTTATCGCAATCGGCTTATTGTGTTTTTTCTTCTTCTGGTGGTTTTACAGCCTCACAGTGAAAGACAGAAACAGCCTGAGAAACATGGTCAAAATCTGCTCTAAAGTTATTGGTGTGAAACAAAAAGATTTGAATTATCTTTGCAACCAACAAATCCTGCGTAAAGCAGCGAGCATCTTGTCTTCTGCAGCTCATGTTCTTCACAGTGAATTTTCTGTTGTCATAAGGAAATCGTTATGTTTTACCTGCTACTAAAACTAACCGCCACTTTAATTCTTTTTGTTTGATTATGTATTTATTCTTATCATGGTGTACATGTGGGCTTGTGTGCTGTTCCATATGTGTGTGTGTTGTTCTGCTCTTAGCTAATTGCCCCCTGGGGGATTAATTAAGTTGTTGAACTGAATTATATTTCATTTTTAAGCTTGGATATGGAGTCACATGTCAGATGCAGATGTGTGTGTTGAATTACTAGCCATCACAGTCACTTTCCTTCATCTCAGCCAGCAGGTTCAAATCTGCCACTTCAAACATGCACGCAGGCAATTGTCACTCACCTCTCATGCTGATGTCAATTGGGTTCAGTCCTGCTGCAAACACTTTGACTATAACCTCATTGGGGTAGTTGATGACGGGGAAACTGGCATTTTTAGTGAACCGTAACACATCATTGCTTCCATATTTATCAATAACCCAGGCAGGCATAACAGTCATGCAGCTTTTGGTAGTACTGAACAGTCTTGTCTGGCTGCCATGCAAGGAAACGGATGTGTTGACACTTGCTGATTTACTATGGTGAAACAAGCACCTACTGAACACTAAGGTGAAGTGCCGAACAGAACTCATCTTTCAACGCTTAAAAACTGTACTGTAGCCGTACTTTAATCCCTGTTACGGAATAACTCAAACTGGAACTTGCAGCCTTTAACGTTATGCTGCATTAGAGTCAAGCGCTTATTAGTGTTCTTTATAAGCAACGACTACCTTCTGGCTACAAACATTTTCTCCTTATGTAAACATCTCTAACTAGTCATTTCGCTTTGCAATAATTCCAAAGTTTACGATCATTTCAAATCAACGACCTCTTCAGTAACATACTACTTCCTCGACCGGTGTCTCGGGCAGTGCTCGGCCTCTCCACCAATCACAGCGCGGTTTTCTCAACAGCTGTCCAATCACAGAAAGGTTCTGTTCGACGTCGATTATCGAAACAAACATGGCAGCCTTCTGGTGCTGCATACTGTGCGAAGGTTGCTGTTCATTTGAAAGGTTGTCACAAACATAAACATGCTCAACCTGACAATAAGAGAGGTTAGTACGACCATTCGTTTGTTTTATTAAGCTCAAGTGTTTGTCTGCTGCACGTAACGGTTGAGTTCGCAGCACATTGGACGTGTGGTGCTGTCAATTCATAAGTAACGTTAACGTTTCCTGGCATAATATAGAATATGTGATACTTTTGCTCCATAACTGGCAATAGCGAAAACATAGTGTCAGGCTAAATGTTCTTTCTGGTTGTTCTGCTTTCTGCATAGTGACAGAAATGGTATTAATGGCATAATGAGAAAGCTAACCAGGAGAACTCAAAGTCAAATACTTATTTTTAAAGTTGCTAAAGAAATGTGTTCGTGGGCAGATACCGTCCTAATGGAAAATGGCCTGGTCTGTTTCAGAAACAAAACAATGACAACTTAAATGTGTTTCATAGTTGTGGATGAAGTGTAAGTTAGACTCCTTTTACTTCTATAAGTAAATGTAGAAATACGTTTAATCATGTAGGACATTTTAAGGTACAAAGTAAGAAAAGCACGAGTCATTATTAAAAGTTAGTGATGGCTGAATTCCATTGAGCTACTTCAGTTGCATGGTCCTGGTATTGTGCACACTGTCATGGCTTACAGGGTCACTTGAATAGAGCCTAGCCATTGTCAATGTTATTAGTAACACCTATGCTTTTTCCTACAATGACAAGTCAAAATGTTTGCTGTGGAAAAAGGCTGACTGAGCGCAAGACCTGAGTTACATTCCACCACTGGTATTTCACCACTGTTCTCTAGGTGTCTTTGGCGCTCAGGGAGGGAAGGATCTCCCCAACGGAGCTTTGTAGGAAGTGTTTGAACCGCATCAAGAAAACACGACATCTTAATGCTTATATCACTGTGACAGAGGAGCTGGCACTGACGCAGGCTCAAGAAGCAGAAACCAGACTGCTTCGAGGTGGGGACACGTGATTGTGTATTCCTGTAAATGCTGTGCGGAGTCACAGGTGTTACGGTTTGATCTTTTTTTCCTTCAGGTGCCCCCAAAGGCCCTCTGGATGGAATCCCCTTTGCAGTCAAGGACAACTTTTGCACAGAAAAGATTAACACCACATGTGCTTCCAGGATGCTTAAAGGTCTGTGCAAACCACAAAGTTACTGTGTTGTATATATTTTCCCCTCTATGTCAGTGCAGTAATGATAACCTACTATTGTTTTTTCTGCAGATTTCACTCCACCCTACACTGCTACAGTGGTCCAGAAGCTCTTTGACCAAGGGGCTGTTCTCATGGGGAAGACCAACATGGATGAGTTTGCTATGGGGTAAAGACATGGTTATCAATATCAGAATTGCTCTCTACTCACAACATTTAGTAACAGCTTGTTACAAACCCCAGTCTTTATTTTAAAAATTGTTTGATGAAGCTGTTACGGCAGTGTACACCTACAGGAAGCGACTCAGAGTAAATTTTATGATTAAGGTTGTCATTGTCTGATTTATTCGTCTCGCAGTGCAGGCAGTACTGACGGGGCTTTCGGCCCAGTGAGAAACCCCTGGAGCTATGCTGCTCCGTACAGAGAGCAGACAGGGGCAGCGCCAGACTCTGACTGGGTCATCACTGGAGGAAGTTCGGGAGGAAGTGCCGCAGCTGTGGCTTCACTCACCAGCTACCTGTGAGGGATTCACTGGTTGAGGAAAACTGAAAAGGAAAGAGCTGATTCAAAATGTTTACAAATCAAAATGTTCTGTTTTGGTAATTACTTTGGCAGGGCTTTGGGTTCGGACACAGGTGGTTCTACTCGTAACCCTGGAGCTCTATGTGGGGTTGTGGCCCTGAAGCCCACTTATGGTTTGCTGTCCAGACATGGTCTCATCCCCCTGGTCAACTCCATGGACGTCCCCGGCATTATGACCCGCAGTGCCGGTGATGCAGCGATCATCTTAGGTAGGAAGATAACCTGCTATTACGTAGTTGTAAGCACTGTAAGCTAGTGTCCTACATGCAGAGTTGATTGTCATTTGGGCCTACATAAAAACATTTCTTGATCTTTATGAATATTGTCATTCTACATTTCCAGCTCTTTCTTTCTAAAATGAGGCCTTCGTAATCAGTGGTCCTTCCTGAATAAAGGATAAAATTAAAACTGTAAATGTTACGATGCACATCAATTGTGTCAATCTGCCAGCCAATTTGATTGAATCAAAATCATTGAGTACAGTATGCCAAAGTGCCTGCCAGTCCACATGTGGGTACAAATGAATATACAGTGAATTGTACAGTTTATTTTTGAGGGTCAAATACATTTGTGGTTAACTGTTTGTCCTTCAGGAAGTATGGTGAGACTATTTCAACAAAATATTTCCATGACCAGCAGCCATGGTATGAGAGTTCTAATCTGGTATGAGAGAGGTGTCACATTGAATCAACACTTTACTTTGTTGCTATGTTTCCTGTCTCTGTCTGCTGTCAGTAAACTAATCAAATAAAACGTTATCGTCATAGCACCATCTTTCTTCTAACATGTAGTTTACGTTTATACATGTATGCTTACCCAAATACCACAAGGAATACTGATACTAAAGGTATCTTGCAGAGGTTTGACTACTAGTATTACTATGGAGCAGTGTTTTGGGACATCTTGTTGTTTGTAATAAGCATGCAGGCTGCACAGTTTTCATCTGGCCATTGGTTTCATACATTACATTACATTTATTTATTCATTTAGCTGACGCTTTTGTCTGAAGCGACTTACAATTGCTATACATATCAGAGGTCGCACGCCTCAGGGACACATTTGTCTCTCACAGTGGATTTGAACCCGGGTCTCTCACACCAAAGGCATATCTCTTATCCACTGCACTACCACACCACCACCTCCTCATACTATTCTGATACCACTATCTTCTGATCAACAGTGGTTGACAGTGTTTGTTGGTGTGGTATCACATAGCTATGCGCAAACACAGACAAGCAAGCAAACATTATGGAAACAACGCACAGTTTAAAATAATAAAAATATTTAATTCTTGTCAAGGATACACACTATGCATTTTGGTGAAAATAAACAGAACTTTCGTTTGTTTCCAAAAAAAACTCTGAGCTGTGGACCTAATCTGGGATGTTATTGCTATGTCACACAGGTATCCTCCAAGGCCTTGATATTAGAGACTCGACAACAGTTGCTGCACCCTCACCATCACTGACTGAGCTACCTGAAGACTTTGATGTCAGGAACATCAGTGTAGGCATCCCTAAGGTGAGTTTAGCTCTATATTAACATCATTATCTCCTCTGTTTTATCTCAGAATCACTGACACCATATTTTCCTTAAAAAATATAAAAATTATACAAATATTATTTTAAGTGTAAGATGTTAAGTTTTGTTGTAAATGTCAAACATTTAGAGTACAGCAATCGCCAAGCTGTCAGAAATAAAGGATAGTAAAGGACAGACTCGTATATACACACAATCATTTTAAAGAAGTCAACAACAATGTGAAAATAATGGCAAATCAAACCATGATTTCAGTTGTATAAGTGTTAACATTAATTGACATTATAGGTACATAATTTTTAAAAAATGTCTCCATAAACACAAATGCACTGCTTATCTTTCCTGTCTCTCAATGTGTGTCAGGAGTACCACGCCCCGGGACTGTCTGAGGAGACTCTGGCTCAGTGGAGTCGTGTCGCTGACATGTTTGAGAGGGCGGGGGCGCGGGTGGAGCAAGTATCCCTCCCCCACACCCAGTACTCCATTGTGTGCTACCACGTTCTATGCCACGCTGAGGTGGCGTCTAACATGGCCCGTTTTGACGGCCTGGAATACGGTATGTACCAGTATATAATATAGGAAGGGTGCAGTGTGGAGCATTTTACACTAAGGGGCCACTTCACTCATTAGATTACACAGGAGGGTCTGTTGGATTAGTTAACTGTACAAAATCAGAAAAGGTAATGCTATTGATTTCCATCTCCCTTCTCTCAGGCCTTCGTAGCAATGTGGACAGCTCGACAGAGGCCATGTATGCCTCGACCCGACATGAGGGCTTCAACGATGTAGTAAGAGGGAGGATATTGTCTGGAAACTACTTCCTGCTCAAACAGTAAGACAGCAGATTGAACTTTCTCGCACCCTTCTGATTCAATTGACAAATTTCAAACCTGTGTATAGCTGACACTTAATACCTTTTTACCTTTTCTCTGCTCTCAGATCTCTACTGTCATTAGACCCTACAGTAAATAATCAGAAGAATAAACTTTCTTAACAATGTCACAAAGGGCCTTACAAAAGGAAATAAGACAGATAACATGAGGTTAAGGCCAAAAGACATATGCACAGAGGAAGTAAAGACAATAAAATCACATTAATAGGAAGAAAAACTGTATAGAGAGCCAGAGTTCAGTAGGGGTTAGGGTTATCTCCACAGTGTGCAGGCTCTAATAGCAAAAGCCTGATCACACTTTATGACAAACCGTGACCTGGGAGTAACCAGCAGGTCTGGATCTGTGGATCTTAACGGTCGAGAGGGCACAAACAGTATTATTTGCCAAGTTGTCTTTCAAGAAGTATAACAGAGAATAAAATTGTCTCGTGGAGCTGTAATATTTCTGACAAGATAGAACTGTCGACGTCCTCTCCCTCGTTTTGCCAGGAACTACCAGCACTACTTTGTACAGGCTCAGAAAGTCCGCCGGCTGATCGCAGACGATTTCAAGCGTGTGTTCAGCTCAGGTGTCGACGTGCTGCTGACGCCCACCACTCTGGCTGATGCAGCGCGTTACTGCGACTTCACACAGGAAGACAACCGAACACGCAGCGCACAGGAAGACGTGTTCACACAACCCGTCAACA